TCAAAGCATAGATGCGAATGAGCAGGCAGTAGGCCGAATGAGCTATGTATACTGAGAATTCGTTGGAAAGGTTATATTCTCTCCATTATATTCAACGGACTGTTTCCACATGATTGTTTCACTTCCTAACCCAGGATCTTACTTGGGTACTTGGGCGGGTCATCTTCACGAGTTAAGCGGACCCGAGCACATTTACCATTTGTTTCTTTCTCTCACAATCGTCGTCCATGGTGGTGGTTTTATTCGAGCTGAGATCTAGGAGGATACTGTGAGCCAAGAGTATTCGAGCCCAACAGTATGGGTCATTCTTAGGTTAAAGGGAAATACTTTCGTTCTAAGAGTAAGTACCTCATTGGAAAAATATTCGAAGGCGTGATGATTGCTTACCAGAATTACTTGATACGTTGAAAATCGACTGTAAACCACATGAGGAACAAACAAGGCGTTCAGCTTCAGCTCATCCGGAAAGCCTGGTGTGTTTAGATAGATTTGTTCAGTAAGGAGTTTGGCATGGTCTTTTATTGCTTAAGCCATAGAATAGGAGGAGGAGACGAAAATTTCGTCCGATTTTTCTACTCTCTGGTCCTACTCAGTATATGAGGATTCTATAGTACGTGTACTGCTCATTCAACACCTGTATCGTCTAGTTCAGCGTCCAGAAGGCGTCGGTTCAATGTTTTACTCTTCGTTTATGCTTTCTTTAATGTTTATTTTGTTTACCTAACTTTCAACTTTGACTTACGAGTCGAGTAGTAGTGATTTATTCCGACTCATGAACGGACCCATTTGTTCGGACTTGGTCTTCTGTTGAAAATGGACACCTGTTTTCTAGCTTATTTCATTGTTTTCCAGATGAATCAGAGCCACTTATCGCCTACGGGATATGCGTGTGTTGAATGCAATGCAAGCTCACCTAAGTTTCCAACCGCTGAGGAGCTGGAGATCCACATCGCTAGTGACCATCTCAATTATTGCCCGTATGAGTGAGTTTTCGGCAAAGTTTATTTCTAACAGCATTAGTTATTTACTCTTATGTCCGACTGTCTCACTTCCACTTTCTCTTTGTTTATTTTGATTTTGTTTTCGTTTTTTTTCTAAAGGGATAAAAGGATAGAGGGTAAAGCTCTCGGCGTTGATCAATCCCTGAGAGATGCGCCATGCATTCGACTTCGTAGAGTTTTGTTAGAGGTGGGTGAATGCGTATTTGGCCTACCGATGTATCAAGTTAGTGCTACTACACTCGGAGATAAATCTGGTATCAGTTTGACGACCTTGGACGGATGGAAGGCTTAGTGGGCCTGTTTCACGGGATCGAACCCGTATGCATTGCAGGACACCTCTAACCGCTGCGCTACACACGCTTCTCAAGAGGAATAAGCAAAGAATAATTTTCATCATGTTTACACCTTGGCTTGCTGTATAGCTTTTACCTCTGGCTTTCATTGGTAACCCTCTGCAGTTTAACAGAATTTCAAGCTATTGATGTATGTGAGGAGGTTGCCGAAATGAGTGATGGCTTATGATGTATGCGATGAAGGATGTTAAGGATCACCTGTCACGTGTATCACCTGTAGTCTCGTTGATCGTCAAGTGACTCGAGCGGGCGCCAGTAAATCTTCCACTTTTCTCTGTCGCGTGCAAGAGTAGTCCAGTGGGTTCTGCTAGCTCTAGGGACTTGTCGAGCATCACATCTTTCTTCAAGGATCTTTATGAAGAACTCTGACCATCGGGGCGGTGGTCTTCCTGCAGTACCTTTGACATCCCGAGGAATCCAGTCACTGACGGCTTTGTCCATCGGTTGTCATTCATACGCATTACGTGTCCGGCCCACCTTATCTTCTACAGTTTGGCGTGGAGAAAGGCATCTTTGATTTTTGATCGTTGACGCAGATCGAAGCTTCGGATCCCATTCCTTACTCGGATCTTACTTGTGTGGAACGGGATACTCCTAGCATCGTCCTTTCGACTGCGCCGTCGATAACGTTGAGTGACCTTTCATCCTGCTTACGCAGCGACCAAGTTTCTGACGCATACGTTAGGGTAGGAAGTACAGTTGAATAAAAAAGTGGGCACGGAGTCGGGTATTCTTTGTTCTCTTCACTACATCCTCGATGCTCTTGAAAGCTCCCCAAGCCGCTCGTTTTCTTCTGCTCAGCTCTGGAGCTACGTCGTTAATCATGTTGATTTCCCAACCTAGATATATATAATTGGAGCATTCGGAGATATTCGTTCCGTTGAGCGTGAATGGGGCATGCGAAACCAATCCGTTCTTCGTGAACATCGTTTTTGTGAGATTTAGTCGATGACCAGTCTTTGCACAGGCTTTATCAAAATCGTCAAGCACACATTCCGCTTGGCTAATGTTTGGTGTTATAAGTACGATGTCATCAGCAAAGCGAAGATGGTGTAACTGCTGACCATCGATTTTCACTCCCATATTATCCCATTCCATTGTTCGCATGGCGTTCTGGAGGGTTGCGGTAAACAATTTTGGCGAGAAGGTATCACCTTGCCTAACTCCTCTTTTGACGTCAATGTCAATATCGTTGGAGAATGGTGATATCTTGGTTGTGAAATCTTTATACAGCTCACGAAGAATCATTGTGTACTGAGTAGGGAGTCCTTGAATATCAAGACTTTCTAAGATCGCTTCTGTCTCAACTGAATCAAAGGCCTTTTGTAAATCGATGAAAGTAAGACAGAGCGGTCTTTTGACCATTCGCGATACTTCAATGAGCCATGTTGCCGTGTGGATGTGGTCCATCGTACTAATTCCTCTTCGAAACCCTGCTTGCTCACATGGTTCGTCTAGTGTTCTGTCAATCCTGCTCAGGATGACTCGAGTGAAAAGTTTGTAGAAGACAGACAGCAAACAAACTGGGCAATAGTTGCCTATATCGTGCAGGTCACCCTTCTTGAATAATAACACAGTCTTGCTTGTCTTCCACTGAGTAGGGACCTTGCATTCAGACAGGTAACGTGTGAAGAGCCGAGCCAGTGTGTTTGCGAGGATTGGCGGAAGGTTTTTCAGGTGTTCTGACCTTATCCTCTCCGGACCTGGTGCCGTTCGATTTTTCACCGACGAAATGGTATGTCGCATTTCGGAAGGGAGAGCCGGTAGTACAACGTATCCATCCTCCTTTATTTCATATGACGGATGGTGGACGTGGCTATCGAAGAGATCCGAGTAGTATTCGTGAATGATTTTCTCCATTGCCTTTCTGGACGCTGCAACTGTTCCGTCTGGGCGCCGGAGCGCAATCATTTTGGTCTTGTAATTGGCGAAGCTTCGGTAGGCTTTGCGAATGCTTTTCCTAGCCTCTGCAGATTCGGCCATTACTGCTGCTATTCTTTCTCTAAGATCTTCCTTTATCGTCTGTCTGCATTCTTTTGCAAGTTCGGACGTTAGTTCTTGGTTGACTGCAGCTCGTGCGATTCCACGCTGGCGTATCAGCTCGAGTGTTTCTGAAGACAGACGTCTCTTGGTGACTTTCGATCTCTGAGCTTTCATAGCGCTAACATGAAGATGTTGAATGAGCCGATCGTATTCTTCGTCGATGTTATCGACAACGGCATCTTCCCAACAGCCGACTAATGAATTGAGTGAATCCGAGCTTACGGTGGTTCTAGGACTTCGGTTTTGGAATTTGGCGGGTTTTCTCCTTTTCGCGAGAAACAAAGTCTTGCACGAATGAGACGATGGTCTGATCCTGTGTAGAATTTTGGGACAGCAACGACATCGGTTAGGCCAAACCTGTTTACTATGATGTGGTCTGTTTCGTTATGGCACTTTCCATTGGGAGACTCTCACGTCCAGCACTGAGGGTGGGCTTCTGGAATTGCGAGTTACCATGGATTCTCTTGGTCGCCATGATAAACTCAGGTAGTCGCTCACACTGTTCGTTCCATTTAATCCGTGAGTCTCAGTGTGAAGTTCTTCAGGCGTTCTTTTTGGTCCAATCTTGGCGTTGAAATCTCCAATCATGGCCTTGAAGAATGTGTGGTCTTCTCTGTAAAATTTATCCAAGTCCATATAGAACGCTTGGACTTCTTTTTCATAGTGATGTCGGTGCGTAAACTGCGAGGATTGTCATAGCCTTTATTGGTCCATATCTTTTTAATCGTAAACTTCCGATTCGGGTTGTAAGCTGTTCGAATGAATTGATGTTCATGGACAAACTCGTGTTGACGAGAACGCCGATTCCGCCGTCTCCTCTACTGTCGTATGTTCCGAAGAACAGTTCTTCTCCAGTGTTGTAGACGGCGTTGAATGGGTGGTCTCGTCTCGACCAGGCCGATGACGTCGTACCTTATCCTTGTTGCTTGCATGAGCATATCTTCTATCGAGGACTCGGATGCAAGTGTACGTGCATTGTAGGTACAGATCGTTACCATAGTTCTTTGAAATCCAGGCGGCTTCCATTGGCCTTGAGATTTTAGCAGCCTCTCCGTACTCCTCCTACCCAACGCGGCAAAATAGCGGGCTCTTTCAAGGTCAGAGAAATGGGGCTCGGTTTTTTTTAAACTATGTTTAGCATTTTGATACCCATCCATAGCTTGCTGGGCTCTGAAAGTGGGGGCTGGTTATAGTCACCGGTAGCTTGCCAGGCTCTCCCAGAGTGGACATGGTGCTTATTTGTTGGAGGCGACTCCTAACCGCCTCCCATATGTTAAGGATATGTTAGACAAAGGTTGGATAATAGGTTTCTGTGCGCCGACTCCGATAGGGGAGGGGTCATTGGAGCCGTGAGAAAGGAAGAGCAGTAATTTCGTAGGGGTATAACTGTCCTTATACAAATTTAGTACAACATGCGGTCAAAATTGGAAGGCTTGTAGCAATAAGGCGTAGTCGCACATAAACGAATTGTGGCAGATGTGTATTCTAACTGAATCTTGTATTAATCAACTTCTATGGTATTTCTACCAATCCATATAGAGCGTCTAAAATACATATTGGCATAGTTTTGATTTTAAGAGTCGAGAGTTTGCTTGACCATCTTTTGCAACAATTTAGCCAGGCATTTCCTTTCATCCTTTCAGTGAAGGGAAGGCATTGCGTCACAAATGAGACATACCTTATTGTTGTAAATAAGTGATATCGTGTGTTTTCTGCAAAATCTATGTGGACATCGACGAGCAATGTGTATGCGGTCGGCTGAGACAAATGATGTGATCGTAATTATCTGTAAAGTTTCAAACAGATTGACTCAGATTTGATAGACGAATCATTGGTGGCAATCATTTAGACTCATTGGGTTAAATACATAATAATAATTACATACATAATAAATATTTAATAAATATTAAATTATTATAGCTCATTCGGATTCGTTGAGAAGAGCTGCTTTCAGAAAATCGTATACTCGACGGTTGGGAATAATAACCTTATATTTTTCTAAAGCTGTGTAATTTGAATGTTACCTCGGTGTTATTGGAATGTTCGACGCTAGTGAAATGAAGGATTTTCACCGTTATTTTGTCACCATGGGACGCCTGTGGCGCAGAGGTCGGACGCGCCGTGCAATACTCATGGAATCCATCCTGGTTCCCTAGGCTCATCAATCCTTCCATCCCATCTGGGGTCAAGAAATTGGTACCAAACTTGTCTGGGAGGATAGCAACACTGGCTCAAAATATCGGTGAGCCACCTTGGGTCACTATAAAGGCCAGATATGCATTCAATCTCCTCCGTCGGTGCTTAATGAAGGCGATTACATCGTCCATCCCTTAGGAGTTGATCAACGCCGAGAACATCATACTTTTTTATTTCGTCACCTGCTTTTCCATATTGGACCATTTAATATGGTTTAGATGTGAGCGATGCCGGTTTGCCAAATTTCCGACGGAATATGCTCTTATTTCCCACTGCAAGAATGATCACGAATTGAAGGAGTTTTTCGTTAGTTATTGCTCATATCGTTTACGTCGTTTTTTATCGGTACCAATTTTTTTCATATTACCATTGTCTCTTACAGGTTCGGTACCGATTCACTCTTGAAGGAGAGCGAAAATCATTGGAGCTAAAGTCGAAGGTTTGATACACTTACGGTTTAAACGATAGTACATTCATGTACGTCGGCTTCCTTTGTACATCATCATATTTAATATCATATGCACATCATATGCATATTATGGAAATAGGTTTTTTGACTAAGGGGTTTTTGTGCCATCACAGTATTTTCCAAATAAAATCATGGTGATGTTGCTTCTCTTTTTCACCTTTTCCTTTTCGACGTTAGATGCGAGCTTGTCTTCGTCAACGTGCGATTTACGAGGACCACTTAGGACTTGGTACTTCGAACGGACACTCTCACTTATTCCATGGGTCTGTCGAGAAGGTTCGTTTATTGGAAAGATTTGTGACCACCTTTTATATGCATCTTTAATTCATTGTTTCATTATTGAATAATCGTAGTTCTTCATTCGTGGTTACCATTGTTCTAGAACTTCCAATACTCAGTGTTTTGACGTATGTAAAGTGCAATTTCGCATTGTTGTAATTATCTTATGTATTGTATCTGAGTATGTTCGATGGAGCACCCCATTGGTTTCAGTATGAAGATCCGGACAGTTTCCCATCATCAGTTGAACCGGCAGTGTCGTCATCTGAACATGTCGGCGTCATGCAATCGAGCTCAGGATCTTCTGCGAGTTCTGGCGTTGTACCTCCGGCCACTTCTCCTACCACAGTTCCTGTAACACCAACGTCGATGGTGCCTAATATCCATCGGAATGTTACGAACAGTGGAAACTTTGTACAGAACTCATTAAGCTATGCAGGTTTGATTTGTCTGATTGTTTCATCTAGATCTTAGTGAGGAATTCTGCGGTGATCAAAGAGTTCTGTCTGTTTTCACAATACGGTTCAGAATGGTTTGGTCACTAAGCCTAAAGTGTTTCTTTAAAATGTTATTGCCATTATTGAGTAAACTTGTCCTGTCGCCACAGTGATATTCAATTGAAACTAAATTTTTGATCGCATGTCACTGTGCTGTTTGTGAATTTGGGTGAACATGAATTCGGCTGTGTTTGTTCCATAGGTATTTGAAAATTGTTTCTGCTTGTCCTGCCCAGCGGTTTACTGCCTCGTCGTGGCTGGTACGTGTTTCTGGGTGTCGGCCTGTGATGTACATTGGGGGATTTATCCTCCTAGCAGGGTGGTTCTTCCAAGCTGAGAAGGGGTCCGGCGTTTCCATCAGGAAGCTCAGCTACGAGTAAACCAATGGCAGAATCCACCACTGTCCTGGTAGCAAACTGGTTTCTTGGAGACAAATATTCCTCTGATCCACAAAATCTGCGACAACCTATAGTGGTGAAGACTTTGGCCTGGATGACCTCGGGACTCCAAGGAACCACAATGGCTAAACCAGCAAAACTTTGCAAAAATAGAGATTATGTTGGGGTCCACACAACCAGTGAGGACGGGCAATCAATGTATTTAAGTAAGTTCTGCTTCTCTCAGTGGTATACTCGGGCAGTTTTACAGCTTCGGTTTTACAGCAATCGCTGACTGTTATTTTAACTATCGAATCAGTATGAGTTTTGTGCGAGGCCTCGTTTCATTTAATCTTTTTGTCTGTGTTTGAAACATACAGAAACTACCACACTGTGGAGTCACAATCACTTTTTAAATTTGGGACAACAAATCGCAATCGCACTTCTGTTTCTTTCTTTCTCCGTGTTATGTTTCTTGTTAAATTGAGTTCTTTAGGTTCTATGGATTGCACTCAGCAGTTGAATTTGTCACACAGTCATGTATCGAACTACGGCAGCAATTTCACATCGAATTCTAATCCTTCATCGGCACTTTCTGAGCTCTCTCCTATGGATTTTGCTAGCGACGCTATGAGCTCAGGCATGGATTTTGCTGCCTTAATTGGAGAAGGAGAGGAACTTATTAGGAAAGTCAGTTATGTTGTGAGTTCCGACGAATGTTGTGTGTGTTCTGCTTTCAATAATGAATGTAAACCATCGTCTCCTTTCCAGCCTAAGGATGCGGTGATATGTCAGATATGTGGTCTAAAAGTGTCGAATCAGCGTTCCAGCCTCGTATATCATGCAAATACAAAGTTAGTTCATTCATAATCTTAGATTGCTGAGAAATTCACCCTCAAATGCAACTGTTCATATCTCACTATCTTACTTGATAGGTATTAATGAAAACGTATAAAATACACAATTCTTTGTCAATGATGTATACTTACTTCGATACTCAGATGGCCCTTCTTCACTTGTGTGCGGAACCCAGCATTATTTCCATTCTCCGGAAATTGTTGACCTAGCCATTGTGGTTCTCTGAAGTACCGAGGGCAGCCTGGCCAAAGTCGGCTTCAGCTCGTCACTACCACAAGCAGTCGTCGCCTCCCTTATGGATCAGGGCGGAATTTGCCACCATGCAACTTTGATACCAGGAGGGTGGTGGATCTTGGTATTGGTTTACTCTTAGCTGGGTTTCCTGATGGAGACTCCGGGTTACCGCCAATGATGTATAAGTTTACTTATTCTTCTGTAACAGTGAAACTCTACACTTCTGGAACCGAGGAATTCAATGAATGCATTTTTGACACCAATTTGGGTTTTTTTTCTCAACAACTACTAGGGCAGTGCAGGAACTATATATTACGGCCATTGCAGGGAAGGTAAAAACCTTTTTACTCTGGCAGCGTAGAATCCCAAAGTTCTGAAAGCACCAGATTTTTGCGAACTTGTTACAGTAGTGGCCTGGTTGTTGAAGCACTACTAGTTGTCGAGAAACATGAGAAAGTGGCAATCGAAGCCCCTCATAAATATGCTGGCTAGGGTAGAGTTTCGCAACGTAGTTCGTTCAATCTCTGCGGAGTTAGGTGTGCAATTTGCGATTCGAGTGGTATACGAGGGTATCGGACTTTATCTGTTTACCATTTCTGGATTCATACGGTGCAATTTTGGAAGTTTGTCATTGGTTTCGTAGCAGTACCTTTTATTGTGATGGCTTCGTCAGTGTTCAAGAAGCTAAAGTAGACTCGTTTCACTTGCTTTGGACAAAAAAGATATCAGAACTAAATTTTGTTTCAGATTCGTCTTTAGAAAGGGCTGAGCGGCTTCGTGTAGATCCTCTCAAAGCGCGGATTGTTGTTTGTTGTCATATAGTCTTTTTTATTGCATGGTGTATAGTTAAGAAATGGACTTCCTTTCTTATGTTGTAAAACAAAGACCAGGCTCCATGACGGTGATCTCTTTACTTCTGATTTAGCACGTGAGCCACCTTTTTCCAATTGCAGCACCTTTTCAGCGTCCTCAAAATGATTTGTTGAATGGTTAAAGTTCAAAACTCTTCCATTATTCAAGTACTTCCTTGAGAAATGTGTCAGCACCATTTTATTCAGTCTAGATTCTTTGTAAATTAACATTTAGGACGAGAATTACATGGGATATCTAAGCCTAAGACCGGGAGGTCGGCTTCCTCCATCGGTAGGAACACCGAGGAGCCCGTACGATTCTTTTGGTTTCAGCTCCTCTGGGAATTTGTTTTACACACGGATCATTCACTGCTAAAACCTGTTTGCAATACTAAGATATCTGCTATCCTTTTTGCACCAGCCTAGTAGCTATTAAAGTGCTTGGAAATGAGGCGATTGCTTGAGGAAAGATTTGCTGAATATGGTTGATAAGGTAAAATTCATATCGTTATCCTTTCACTGCCGTTCACTACGGTTTCAGCTTCTTCAATATTAATGTGGTTTGTGGTCGGATCTTATCGTACCACAATCTTCCGATTGTGGTTCTTCATTAAGTTCTTGCTGATAGACCTTAGTTGTAACAGGATTCAAGGAAGTTGAAGTGTGTGATTCTATCTTTTGAGCACCAAATTAAGCCTAGCCATGGTTTACCGTAATTATGTCTGTGTCCTTTTCTTGTTCAGCAATCGCGAGGTTTTCAAACAGCATACATTTACTTCCATAAAAACACAATACAATACAACGCTAGCTGACGTTTCGGCAGTATCGCCTTCTTCAGAGCCTGGAAGGGTATACTGATATACAATCTACTAGGTCAAACGCTTCAGTAACACTTACACAAAGACGAAAGACTCTTTGGTAATTACACGATCAACAACTTCTCGAAAAACCCACCGCTTTTTCGTGACTTCCAATGAGGAAGTGTAGAACAGCTGATTATAGTCGCATGTGGTTGACGACTGCACCATCCCATATCAAAAATCGATGCGAACGTACGGGATCAGGTCGCGTATGACCTCCGGGCATTCATCCCTGCTATTCATTGTAGGGTTTTTGGCATTGATCCAAAAAGCCTCAAGGAGTTTTCGCGCTGGTGTTTTGGACTCCTGTGCAAGGATATTGACTTTTACTTCAAAATCGTCTCCGCTATGCTTTTGTATCCTAAGCGTGCCTACTAGGGCTGCTTCGTCTTAGTTTTCGTTTGCCATCTAGGTGTTCTTTTATACGGATACACAAAGGTCTGCCCGTTTCGTCAATATATTCATCTCCAAAATTATTACAAGAGATCAGGTATATCGTACCTGAACTCATGCAATCACCGTCCCTGCCGGAAGGGCAAATTACNATGATGACGGATTGGTTGACGCATGATCATCAGGTGATACCAACTTATGTGTTTTAATAAGTAGGTATAGGACGGTACATGTTGGTCTATCGATTTTAAAGTGCGAAATAACCGATGATTTTAAACCGCAGCCTTTGCCACGTTGACCCATTGATTGTTTAGTTTTCGGTGTTGACTTTTATATTCTTTTTCAGAGGATGGGCGATAGAGAGTAGCATCACTAAGATGTTCCTCTGTTATCTCAACATCCAGCTGGCGAGGAATAACTACGAACTCTCCCTCCTTATCACTAACAGACAATCTTATTGTTTTCGAGTTTATTAATTCTCTAATTTCCCGCTTGCCACATTTTTGTGCGGCTGTAAGGTTAGAGATAAACTTTCTATCGCGGTAGTGATCAAGGGTCTTGAGAACGCCGTCCGAAAACGCGCGGAATTTTATGTCAACTCCATCGTTAGGGTCCTGCTGTCTAGAAAACGTTTTAGGGAAAGGAGATGGTGGTAGTGTCGCCGCTTCTTGATTTTTATCTCTATTTGATGTTTCTTGCTTGGCCTGATAGCGGAGTCGATCTTGAAGCTCATAAAGGTTGCATGCTATCCTACGCAGGGTCGTTTTAGAAATGGGCTGTGATGGCGCAAAACTTGGGCCCACTTCTAATAGCGAGCGCGCATTCTCAGGTATTGTTATGCTCCCAATCACGGTGACCCTAGATTTTCTTGGTGCATTATCAACCCCATTTTGACTATTATCAGAAACGTAAGGAATTCGTTTGCGGTTGTTTCTTGAAGCTGAGACGTGTGAATTACCCAACAGGCTTTCGAATTTCCGTTGTAAGGTTATTTTGGCATTAGATCAAATAAAATCGCATTTCAATATTGACCCACCGTAATTATGTCTGTTCGTATGTTCTACAGAGTCTATTTGAAGTCGCATTTTGCGATCCGATGAAGAAGTGCGGGGTTTTCACCACGATAGAGATGCGCAGAGTATTTTTCGTATTGACCAACCCTCTATTTTATGTCCTCTCGTCTTTACTTCATTGCCGACAACGAATCATTGAACAGTATTATTCTCCTAATTGACTATAATGCAGGGCGCTTTCAGGATGAGAAAGCTTTCTGATTTCAACAGTGGAAACAAAGACGCTTTTTTTACTGGTACTTATTAAATTTTCTAGAATACGTCAGAGCGACACAATGCAGCACAACTTTCCCACCTATGCACCACGATGCTACGTGCAGTTACTCTACTTATTCGTGAAGGACATGTGTTTGTGACCGATTCAGCCACAAATCTTGTAGTACAATTTGTCAGCATCGTTCCCTTTTTAACTCCGTCTGGTAGAAGCCGATACAGTTCTCGCTAAGGTCAATTAAACGGGTAAACATAGGACTACGGATGGACAGAAAGAGGGTGAAATTTATGATCATTCATGGTTCGAAGGAAGGTGGTTCATTCTGGTTGTGTCATCGGCTGAACAGACCGCATAGAATACTCTAGATATTCGGTAACTATAGATTATGAAGTAGGAAGAGCTCAGTAGTAAACAGTGGGTGTCATGTGCCACCCTAGAGCCTTTAACAAAGAGCACTGACTACATTTCTGATCCCGAGCTACATACTCAGTGCGGTCCTTCCATCTTTTACGTTATGGCATGGGAACATAACATACGTTTGATACTTCGACGACATCAAATGGTTAGAGTGACTATCTGATGACGAGGTCCAACGTTAGAAGTGGTGTAGGTCTAATAACATATGAAGGCAAATCGTTTCAGTGTCTCCCCTCTTCCCAACAGTTTATCAAACCTTCCATCATGGCTTAATTGATAAAAAGAAATTTCCCAAACTACTCTTCAGGGTCCTCTGTATTTAACGCAAATTAGATCGAAAACAAATCCGTGTTTTATTTTCTTTTATTATTCACCACCTATGTTCACATCTACAGCGCGTATCGCAACACTTGTATTCGATTCGTTTCCTCGCATCCACCATCCACAAACGTCTTTGAAGTATTTGTATGTGGGTTCTGCTGCTGTTTGACGATTGTCATCTCTTTCTTTATGAATGTCGTTGAGTGCTGGTCGAGTCGATTCTCTTTAGTGTCTTTGGATAGCAGCAGTAGAACGTTTCTACTTGGCTTCTAGAGGCAACTGTTGCCAGAGAAGTCTGGCTTAGGCTTAGAAAAAAGGACCAATTTCCTAACCCTAGGAGGGCCAGAGGCGTGGTGAGCCTGGTGAGGGTTCAAACCAACGCCATCCTCAAGATGATAGAAATTTGATCTTTCATTAACATTTCCCATTTGTTTGCTTTTTTTTTTTTACGAAATTCGTAATGATCAAGAAAGGGTAGGTTGAAGTCTGCACAGAAATTTGGTTTTAAATAAAAACTTGAGTGGGACAAAATTGGCTAGTGATTTGGAGCCTACTACAAATTAGACCTAGTTTTCATCTTTTTCTTTTATGAAAAGAATTGGCTGTGCTTTCTGTAAGCTAAGCTACCTCTTTCCACTTTCCTTTATCCTCGTTCTCCAACTTTATTAGAAAACGTAAGCTTTTTAGGCATATTAAGCTGAATCTCTATCAATGTGCAGTATGTCAGAAGACGTGGCAGACTATAGCAAAGTCAGATGTCTTGAAGCACGTGAAGGTTCGTCGTATAAGTGTGCGTTTATTAATCAGTTTCTTCTAGATCATACCTATTATAGGCGATCCACAACGGTGACGAAAGCATGATAATCGATAATAGAAAAAGGCTTGGTTACCAGTTAAGAATGTTCACTGCACGTTGCTTTCCACCGAAGCCAAATAACAAAGCCCGTCCTCTCACAGCAGGTAGTACATATGTTTCAGGAAAGGGTTTAATATGTGGGCAATGTCGAGAAGCAGTTCTAGGTTGTTCTCCACCTCGTCCAGGGATTTCTTCTACTGATGGTGACTTCAATAACATGCACTCTGAGTCAGCGAGTCAGATTCTTCAGTCTTTTATCGTGTCTGGCGGTAGTAGCGCTGTTAATGCACCAAAAGAGGAGCCGGACATGGATCATGATGAGGTATTCCTGCCAATACATTATACTAGATGAGCATTTTCTTCTCGCTTTTTTGCATTTCCGTTTAAATGCCAATTGTTCTTAGACATTTCTATTTAGGATTTTGAGACAGCCAATTTTTTGCTGTTAGAATTTGTGTTGGTGAGGGCAGTCTATAAATTTGGTTTACTTTAACCGTTTTTAAAGTGGCAGTCGTGGGGTGACTTATTTTCTTCTTTTTACTTACTTACTTGGATACTTGGATAGGCCGTCTCCATTGGCGTGCGAACCCTCAGCATAATCTCCAATCCCCCGAGACTTGCTGATTTAACCATTGTGGTTCTCTGGTGTCTCGAGGAGAGCAAGGCCATAGTCTGCCCCAGGTCGTTACCGCCACAGACAGTCGCCTGCCTTGTGGATCAGACGGAGATTTGCCGCCATGCGATTGGTTTGGTACCAGGACGGTGGTGGATCCTGATATTGATTTACTCTTAGTTGGGTTTCTTGATGTAAACGCCTGACTCCTCAGCCTGGGAGACCTGCTGGGTGATGGATCCTCCGGTGTACATCCCAACCCGGGACCCAGGAACACCTCCCAGCCACGATGACTCGGTAAACCGTTGGGAAGGTCGTAGACATAGCGCTGTATTCAAGCTGAAAGGTTTGGATGGTCACGTACTAATTCATGATCATTTCGCGGTCCCACTCATCTGCAGGTTTTCAAATGATTCATTTCTTTGTATAGTAAACTCTATGCTGAGCAACTTAAACGCTATGCTATAACTTCAAGTAGGAAAAAAGAACGAGAGCTTCTTTTTTGTAGGGCGAGCACGAAGATGGTGGTGATGGGTTGGATGAGGTTGATCATGGGTACGGTGATGGGAGAGCTATGCAAGCAGCATTAGCTTGTATGGTTGCTCAGCAGCAGCAACAACAACAACAGCAACAGCAAAAACAACAACAGCCACAGCAACAAATGGTGGGATAACGTCAGCATTCAGTCTTTTTATGTAAACGTTCCTCCAAAGAACTTTTATGGAAGTGGTTACTAAAAATTTGTGTTGTATTCCTTGCAGTTCTGAAGATGGGTAGCACATTGGATTAGACGATGAGCACTTCTCGACGTGTCTGGGCTTCTAAGGAACTACAGTCGCCTTTATGTACATTATGTAGAGTTGTTCATAGTGCTGTTAGGCTTGTTTTATTTATTGAAAGTTCTAATGTATTTTTTTTTGTGCTTCGTTAATTAACAGAGTAGCGTCTTTGTATGATGTCTACTTCTACCACTAGAAGCATTTTTATCAGTGGTCAGAAGCAGTTCCGAGACATATATCCTTTAAATCGAACTCGGTTTCGTAGTTCTTATTCAGCAAAGCGCTATGTTAGGGTAGTCTATTTTTGTATTTGATATACCTTGTCGTAGGACACATATCATAGCTCGGATTTCACTGCATGAGGGTTGTTGTTCTTAGCGTTGTCTATCTCTTCGATCTAGTCATGGTTGTGTTCTAATATTTCTTTTGTTAATACAAATTATTTCCAACATATCGTTTGTGTTTTATTGACCTATACATATATGTATAAAATAGTTAATGCTCATGATTGGTGGTAAATGTGGATTTCTATGTGATCAGCTCAAAGCCTATGCCAACAGCTACTTTTCTGTAGAAAAGTCGTTGATAATCTATGGTCATTGTATTTCACATAAGATGGCGGATGACAATATTAAGATGGAGGTTGAAGAGAATGAAACCGGTGCTGCTGCAATAAAGGACAAGAAGAGATTCGAGGTAGGTTGTGTGTATTTCCTGTAACGTCTAATTACCAGTGTAGGAAAAGAAGGTCAAGCTCAGCGTGGATCAATCCATGACACTGATGCGCCATGGATTCGACCTCAGTAAGCGTCGTTCGGGGGTGATTGGATGCATATCTGGCCTTTTGAATGACTGGTGATGACCCACTGATGTATTGAACCAGTGCTGCTATCCTTCCAGATAGGTTTGATACCAATTTGCCGATCCCGGAGTAATGAAAGGTTAGGTGGGCTAGGGGCCCAGGAATCGATCTCGCGTGTGTTTCTCAGGGCACCTTCGTCCAGTGCTCCACACGCACCCATTAACTGCCAGTGTATAGCATTTATTATCCCTTTTCCTTACATTTAGTTGTTATCGTGCACAGCTAGGTAGCGGTCATGTTTTTTTTCTGAGCTTCGTGTCCTTGATCACATCAGGAAGAATCGCTTTGTTTTTCTTCATTTCATCTGTTCTTTTATGAATGGTCATGGGCAGTTTCAGGTGAAGAAATGGAGCGCTGTTGCGCTTTGGGCGTGGGACATCCAGGTTGATAACTGTGCTATTTGTCGTAATCATATTATGGACTTATGTATAGAGTGTCAGGCAAACCAGGTAATCGATTAGTTGCAAGTTTTTCTTTGAGGATTGTAGGGTGCTGCTAAACCCAATAAAATCAAGGGAAGGTAGCTCCATATGAATCTACCATTTCTAGACGAGAACATGTTCTTAGACGTTTTCTTTTGTGAGCGGTAAGACTAATTTTACTCATTTAGATTAAGTAACCAACTATATAGATGCAAAATTTTGACAGGAACTTAGAATGAGTGATTTTTAAACGTTAGTCATCATTTTTTTATATTAAGGGTAACCAGAGTACGGGTCAAAAGGAAGAGTGTACTGTCGCTTGGGGAAATTGTAACCATGCGTTTCATTTCCATTGTATTTCTCGTTGGCTTAAAACCCGTCAGGTACACAACTGCTTTTTTGCACTTCTGCTTACTTAGTATTTCATTTGTTCTTCAGGTTTGTCCTCTTGATAACAGGGAATGGGAATTCCAAAAATATGGCCACTGATCATGTTCTGGATCTCTGATTAACTCACTTCTTTATTTTGCGTGCCTCTATCTTCGATATGAGCGGCAATCTATCATCTTCTAGTTTGTAGCCGTCGGTGTTTTCTTCAATACCTTTTTCATTCTGGTTTAGATCGTACTCCGCTGTTTCTCGATTCTGTGAATTATAAAATATTTCATGATTTCACAATGTTAAATTTTTATTTGCTGTCTACTACAATTTTTCATGGCAGGATACTGTGTGAAATACAACCACAGTAATGCTGAGATATTTGCAAAACTCCGGACTGCGTGTGTCTGTGGTAAGGAACGAACGCGCAATTACCTTTTCCGGGGGCTAACGCGTTTACCATGCAGGTCCTTTCCACCACAAACACGTGTGCTCTAGAGTTTTGCAAATATCTCAGCATCATTATGGTTGTATTTCATGATTTTTTTTACGCCCTGTGAAATACGTAACTCAGGAGATTATTCGGCGATAACCGAATTGCGGTTGTTATACGATGAATTTACGCTCCGGTTATGATGCTAACGACCAATACACTAACTATTGCAATAACCGATATACCGCAATTTGTCGTAGGTCAGTGGTTCAATAGTTAGGTAGAGAGTGCAGCCAGGAGTTTGTTGAGTAGCCACTGCTGTGGTGAGTTCCATTGCTGAATTCTGAAATCTACGTTTATGCCGTGATAAGGGTTTCCTGGAGTTTCTGTGCTATGTAGCATTCTATAAGAGGAACAGACAGAAAATTTCTACGAAGGAGTTCAGAGAGATCAATAAATATAAGTCCGACTTCAAACAAATTGCGAAATTTTCATTCTAACAGGTTTTTTTTTCAACTGGGACATTTTCAGATTCAAATTCTGCGAATGTGTTTCCATATTTGGAACCCAAAGTGAAAGGTCGGTAATGTATTGCTGATTGTTTCCAATGGTGCTTGTTCACGTTAATGGCCAACTTCTCTCTATATTTAGGAATAACGTTTATCTATTAGAGATGGCACCGTTTTATGGTTGGTCTACGAGCAATTTCCGGTCGGTTGCGGACGTTCTGGTTTTCGAGCAATAGAAAGCAATTGTTCAGTAAATAAAGGACTTGTGGGATTGTGAACATGACTGCATTACTTGGATGGCCTTCTTCACTGGTGTTTCGGGGCTGGGCACAACTTTCATTCATTTCTCTTTCACGCAATCGTCGTCTGTGATGGTGATCTGTTTCAAAAGTGGTGACGTCCGCGAGGAACTCATTCTGAACAAAAACCTTTCTATCTGTGAATGCAGGTGGTTGACGTTATCCCCGAACACGTCCGCCCCTTGTTTTTTGGGTGGCCTTCCAAGAGGACGTTTGCATTTATTTGGAGTCAACACCATTGTTCATTTCATCCATCTTCCCTCTGTTCTTATTATGTGACTGACCAATCTGTGTTTCGCTAGTGATGTTTATTCTCCTGAATGCCGAGGATCAGAACTGCGCATTCCGGCCTGACGTTGTGAGTGCCGGTTAAATCTCAGAAGGCATCGGTAAAGTTCTCTGTGGCCGTCGAAAAGTTGAGCGCAGAGTTCTGGATCCGTTAGCTGGTCTGTGGGCCTGTGGATCTGTGCCTCGATCTTTTCGATATCGAGATCGATAGAACTAGCTGAGAGACAGGCAAAGCGAAGGACCCGGATGGTGTGGTGGTGAAGTGCACTGCTCCCTGGTAAGGACTACGGCGCGCGTTCGTTGCCCACCGCATGCACCTGCGGTCCGGAGTTTTGCAAATATCTCAGCATTATATACGAGACTTCGTTATTATTGTTTTATGGAAGCGACTAGTATGGGTGCTACTATTTGCTGTGGATTACTGTAGTCCATATTTATGCGTGTAACGTCGTGGTTAAAGGTGCTGCACAATATACATGGTTTCGTTCGTGATATGTAGTAGGCTCACCAAGCCTTCCAACTGTTCAGGGCCGACAAACTGGTTCCATGTTTGGGAGGATCGCAACATTGACTCGATACATCAGTAGGCTACTGCGAGTCACTGTATAGGCTAGATATGCATTTAGTGACCTCTAACGAGGCTTGATGAAGCCGAATGTATGACGCATCCCTCAGGGATTGACCAACGCCGTGAGCTCTATCCTTTGCTCTTATTTACTGTAGTCCATTATGCAAACATATTGCTGGCAGCACTTGGAAGTATATCGTACAGTGTGCTGAATGTACTTCTGAGTTTTTCTTTACATCCTCGCATTCCATAGAATAACCATTGCGATTAAAATGAAGTAACCATTACGTTGCATTATTGGTCAGTGGACTTTCTCGAAACAAGATTTTTCTTTTTGTAAGTCATTAAATGTAACGAGTGGTTCTTTTGGTCTCAATCTTCCTAATTTTATCTGCTTTCTATCAGCCATCGAATAAATATGAACAGTACGGTGAAAAAAAAGGTTATGGAACCCACCATACTGAAAGGACACCATAGCGGCCACATTCACCTCTCGTGCTGGTACGTTTGGACGGCATAGTGCCTATACGGTTGCGAATGGGTTAAGTAATTATTTTCATCACAGGGTTTCATTAAACATCGGCATAGACAGGCAGTTATGCATTTCTGATGGACTTAGACAATCACAACTATACAGAAGTGCTTGAGAAGTAGAGAATACAAAGAACTAGTAGCCAATTTATCTGCTAGTGGTACTAAATCATCGTTGTCACAGATACATTAAAGACAGAAATACTTTTGAAATTGAAAGTGTCGAAATACGTCAAATATGAAGCGAATGTCCGAGTTCTCTCTTCACTTATGTTTGTTCAGTTGAAAGCGGACGCTGAGAAGAATATTTAAGGAAAATTTAATGCATAATTACGAGCATGTCATCTTATCCCATAGACAACAGGGATAAGCCCCGTCATACGAACTGCAGTCGTTTCTTAACGAAGTTGAAGAATTATGAATAAAGGAAGTGACCCTGAAGCAACATATATTCGTGGTAAAGAGAATGAAAAGAAGAAAGAAGTTCTGTACATCTAAGCAAGAGATGTACTGTGAATGAAAAAGCAACGATTTATGTGATGAGCTTGATTTGTCGAAGGAAACATCCCTGTTTGATGTCACATTCACGAACACCTTCACCACGGAGCCATCATGCTCTTGACGAGTGTACGTTGTTTGGATTTGGCTGCTTGCGAAGAAGTCTTGTCGTGCAGTGTACTGTTGATACGCAAGAACACAAACCATGAAGAAAGATCGATCTTACGAATCGCTACCGTTATAGAACAACCTTAGTGAATACATTTTTGGAGCCTTCTTCCTTACAGTCGATGATCCGAGTCGATTATCCGCAGTCGTTCGTCTTCTCGATGTGGTGTCTTGGTCACGGCATCGAGTCATAGAATTTTAGATAGTTGCAAGGCAGAAAACCTCCCTTTGATTGACAAGGTTGAGCGACAGCGTATGGTGAAAATCAGAGGAAGCCCTTATACACTTAGAATTGTAGCGGACAATAGCCTCGATAGGCACTAGACTTTCTAATTAGGGGAAAAGATCCCTTGGTTAAAGCAAGATGCCTGCGGAAATCCGACAGCTGCTATGGACGACAGAATAGAAGACATGTTGGGTTACGCATTTCGTATGATGATGGATCCTGGGAAGTGCGTTAGTCTATCCAAATTTGTACATTTTTTAAAGTGAACGCTTAAAAATGTCATTTCTTTTCTGAAACGATAGAATTGAGCCCACGAGTTGGTCAAGTTCGGAACTCTTTAGGATTTTCGTCAAGAAATTACCATCAGTTTTTCGAAAAAATAAAAGAACTTGAAAGTCCCAGGACCGACTTTCTTTTAATCTCGACATTGGTCAAAAAATTCACTGTTTTCTTAATGAGCAAACACGAGATTGTTATTAAACCACTTATTCATTCACAATAGCTGACGTCTCGGCGGTTTTGCCTTCTTCACAGCATGGAAGAGCCAAAGTGACACGCAAACCGCTTAGTCAAACACTTCCATGACCACAGCAGATGAAACTTAATGCGTAAGATTTTCATTTGCATAGCAAACAGCTTCTTCTAAACAACTGTTTGATCCTTGCAAGCCCTTTAGTTATGTGGTGGAGACCAGTCGCACAAGGTTTTACGTGGATGAAGAATGTGCCTGGCTACTGCAATAACAACCTCGTGTTTTCTTATCAAAAAAAAAAAATAATGGCTTATTTTTTTCTTATTTCATTTATATAACCCGTCTTCACGCCTACTGTTCGGATCCCTGCACTCCTTACATTCGTTTTTTCGCATCCAAAATACACGATTATCTTCCAACTTCTACGTGTGGCTTCAGTTGCTGCTTGAGAATTTTCATTTCATCTTGAATGTCGTAGAATGCTGATCGAGCAATTCTAGCTGGAGTCCTGAGATGATCGAACTGGAGTGTTTCCAACTGGATTGCAGAGAGCAATTTTTCCCCAGAGAAGTCCAGTACCAATTTCCTGACCCCGGAGGGATGAGAGGCTCGGTTGGCCAGGTGCGGAATCGAACGAGCACCATGCTCGTGATGAAGAATATCACTATCACTATGCTATCCGCTCCTATGGATTATTAAAGAAAAAAACTTAATGCGCCCAATAAGTTAGTGAGAAGAACACAGAAACAGTGTAGAATGAACTATTTTGCCCTATTTTGTTATAATGCATCCCTTATAGGTTTCATATCCTTTGAAAATTGAGATAATAGTGTTCATAAGGAGAAGTCATTTCAACAACGGAGATTGGTCAAATTTACATGTAGATGTCATTCATCACCTTCATTTCATACTTAATGAATCTTGTTCCTCTGAAAAAAGACGGGAAAGAAAGTTCAGTTCGCTTCCATATCTTCCGTTTTCGTTTGCGCACAACCGCTGCTGTTTACCTTGATAAGAAGTGAGAGAGTGACGGAGTGAGGGCGAGAGCTTCGGCCTTGGCTGACCATCGTACTCACCGACGGTTTTGCAATTCCATACGGTAGCATGACACGTGTAGAGTTTTTCTTCACTTTGTAAATAAAATGTAAGGACTACTGTTTTCTTAAATAATAAGCTCAAAATGATTTCTTGAACTTTCTTCACCATTCTGACCTCTATACTTAGTACAATCTCTCTAGCTACGCAATACTTTTGATTGATGGATTTCAGGAACGTTTACAAAAAGAACCATCCACCAAAACAACATTTCAGTCCCTTTTTCAAAAAGGACATTTTAATTAATCATTACCGCGTCATCATTAGACCTTATATCTTTGTTTCACCTTTAAATAAGAAGACATAAATATTTGTTTTCTTCTTTGTCGAAAGTGAAGGAGAGAGAGAGTGAGTGAAGTAGGAAAGGCAAGATAAAGAGGGCAAGGTAGGGAGAGCAGGCTGAGGAAGTAACAGAAAGTAAGAGAGCAGCTCGCTCTCGCAACTTCTGTATACTCTGGAGAAAGAATCGCTTAAAGTAACGCTAATCGACTTTCAGACTGATACAGAACTTTTTATGGATCTCTGTAGGTTCTCTCATACTTTTCAAATAATTTTTTTTCAGGATTGGACTATCTAATTTAAAGAATAGATGGAATAAGTGCAACATTTAATCACTGCTGTTCGTTCCATAACGGATTTCATCAATCTTCGATGAGGTTTAACAAAACATAGTGACGGAGCTCCTACATCTGGACATCTGTCGGTGGGGATCGAACCGTTTCTACACGAATCTCTCCCATGGTGCTCTTCTTTCCCTCATTGATCATTTGCTTTCACGAACCATAAACAGTCTACGAAATCGGTTACGGCTCACGTGATGCCTGTCTAAACATCTCCACATACTCATTTGAAAATAAGAAATGCTTTTAATTTTATGCAACTTGGCTCTCATAATCTAGGCTGCAGCTCTTGGCATGAAAAAGTTTAATGGAAATTACTGATTAAGTTGCCAGAAATGAATATCCTGCTTTGTTGATAAATTTGCACGAAGTTGTTACTGAATTTCTTGTAGTTAGCGCATTGGAGCTATGATAATCTTCCGAGCCTCAATAATTCGGCTGATCGTCCGGAACAGTTATTTTCGCGATGCTTGAGTTTCTATAGTTCCCAGGATCGACATTCTATTAACATCGGCATTGGATTACAAATGCGTCGTTTGCTTTGTCAGCAATCGCGAGGTTGTTAAACAGCATGCGTTTACTTCCATACAATAACACACATACAGCGCAACCGTAGCTGACGTTTCGGCAGTATCTCCTTCTCCAGAGCCGTTTTCACGTGTCTTCCACCGAAGAAGAGCCGCTGATCAGAGTCGCACAAGGTTGGCGACTGCACATGGTCGACGACAGTCGTCAACCATGTGCGACTCCGACCAGCTACTCTTTCTCAGTGGAAGACGTAAAAACGGCTCTGAACCAGGCCATACTGCCGAAACGTCAGCTACCGTTGTGTTGAGCTTCTATAGTTACATTGGCTCGAATCCAGTGGACTAGAACACCGTGCCAATAGATATATAGGTGAACGGCGAGATGGGGTCAAAACTGTAGCAGGGATAAGGTTATTTTAATGACCTCTTATAAGCTTATAAACCTCCCAAGATTTATGCCAAAGTTAAATTAGAGTTGAATTTTAAAAAAATGTGAACTAGAGATAGCTTCTGTTGTTGTTACATGTTATGCATGTACAAAAATTCGGGACATGTAAGCTGATTAACAATAACTTTTAAAAATATTACCATCATACGCACGGTAGCAAGTTTATCCTACAGCAATGTCTCGTAATCTGAGCACTAGGATACCTGCATCAGGAAGCCCAGATAGGAAGAAATATTTGAGAAAAGGGAAGCCGCTAGAGAGCTCTGCATAGCAACCATTTTTGATAAAAAGTTTAAAAAAGCATCACACACAAGAGCGGTGCTATTTGTGTCTTAAGAAAAGAATACTGAGTGGCTCATGTGCGATATGACACGAAAGGATTACTTATACATGCACGAGCAATTCAGTGATGTACAGAATTGCATGCATTGCGTATGTATAGGACGTTCTGGTCAGTTATTTCTGATTTTCTCGCAAAACGTTGGCACTCTCATTGTCATGCTCCAGTTGTATGTGTTTACAGGTGCCAGAGTTGTTTTCCCTTGTTTTCAATGTGTCTTGGAAGCGTTCCCGTCAACGCTATCCTCACAAGGTACCCTTCTACGAAAAACTTACTTGTTCTCGTCTTTCTTCATATTTTCCCATTCGGCATCTAATTTATCTCTTTAAAATCATGGCTTCTTCATGCCATAATATTGCTCTTTCTGCGGCTTCTGCTTCTTCATTTTGAAATGGTTTTCGGTGATTTTTTAGTGGTTCAGTCTAATCTTTACGATGTCGTGCCTTCTTATTTCGTTCTTTTCTTTATAGCGTGGCAGGTCAGTCTATGAGTACTTCGTTGCTAAGCATCTTCCTCCTAGTCCTGCAAGCTGTATTGGCTGATTATCTCGTAAGCCCACGTGTTTCCAGTTTCATCAAGTATGACGGTGCGTTTGGTTCCTCACTAGGAGTTACGGAAAAATTTCAACTGCACCTAGAGTGAAGGTGTAGCAGAAGTAAAGCAATGCGTAAATTACAGTAATTCTGTGACTTGAGAAAGGAGCTCTTCAAAGAGCCTGTGAATGGCGTGATCTTTTCGTCAACTGACCGTATTATCCGGAAAAATACTATGTTGTCTGCTTATTGTCAATATATCCGAATGTTTACTCGCTGTTAATGAAGAAACAGCGGAGTATTTTCGAAAGTTTTATGCATTTACACCAAGAATTCGCTGTGATTTTCACTAAATACTGAATAAACTCGCTAAAAACTGTGTGGATTTCATTCCAAGTCCTTTGTAGCTTGCGTAGCCCAATTCACATAAGTAGTAGACTTTGTCCTTTTAAACTCACCTAGAAAAAGTGCTTATATACTTAGATAACTCGTTATACTACGCCTTACGTTTTCCTGCATTTCATCCATTGGATTCCCTAGTTTGTGGGCGTAATCCAAGTGAATATTAGGATATAGGGCTGTATAAGTTCAGTTCCGGTGTGGCACCTCTTCTCATTATTCAGTGCTGGTCAATCATGTTCCTGAGACTGTAAGATAGCTATGCTAGCAACTTTAACTTCTTTATCAAAAGCGGTCGCTAGTATAACCCTTTCACAACATTATTTCAATATGTTTGCTGTTGGACGTTTCTGGCCGTACATCTTGTTTTCAATGCACATGCTTTTTCCGCACCTGTTTGCCGCACAGAGCTTTTGCCAGAGTTTAACGTTGAGTGATGTGATACCTTGAGAATAGGACCTCTTTATTAGGGAAATTATTTGTACAATTAGTTCACTGGCCAATCGAACAAGGCCTACCGCGCCAAGCCCGTACAGTTGTTTTAGTAAATAAATTTCTAGGGAAATTTCCTATCACTTTTCAAGAATTGCTATCTGAAGCTCTGGATAGAATAATTACGTTTTAAAAGAATTTTTAACTATAATAACCGACAGCTGTCGAACAAGAATTTTTTGATTTTCCTCATTAAAAATTATCGGTAAATATACCCAATGTACCTCTTGAGAACTCTTGCAACTGTGTGCTGACGGAATTCCTCTACTAATGGAAGACCATCGTCCGATGCCATGCCAACCTCGTCCATGGCTACCTGAGCAAAGGTATATTCACGCTTTTCTGTCTTGTTTTCAGACCCTTTTGTTGTGTTCAGCATCTTTTTCAGGTGTCCGACGGGTTTCTGGTGTCATGAAGGTGAGGACGAAGCTAGCTACTATTGCTGCCAAAATAATCGAAAAGGTACCTTTGTTTTTTCTCTTTCCGTTTCTTTTTTTTTAGACACCGAATCCATAAGATTCGAACAAATACGTTGTTGAACTCGATAATTTTTTGTCTGTGTGGAACCACCTGCAACAAACACAGCGAAGCGAGAAATATTTTTTTTGTTCTACGGACGCATTTTAGGCTTAGGTTAAGGTGATACAGATGCAAAAACTGTAGCTAAATTGAGCCATACTGCTTTTATTCAAACTTATATTGAAGAGAATGAATGGTTTATCTAAAAACTAATTTCAGCGTCTTCTTTGATCATCCCCGGTTTGTTTTTCTTTTGCCCCTTACCCCTATTACTACGATGCTGGACACTGAAGGCTTACGAATAGCACCTGAATAATCACCAATATATTTAAGTAGTTTCTAAAACCGAGTTTTTATTAAGCTCGATGTAGATTAAGTAAATTTCCCCCTTTTTATAAGCAAACATCAGCTTGTTACTCTAATCTTTATTCGCAAACCAGCTGACATTTTGGAGGATTTCGTCTTCTTCAGAGCCTGGAAAAGTTAAGTTGACTGCAATCTACCTAGTTGAACACCTCCTTAACCATAACAAAGGTAACTAAACCAAAATTTCAGTCGCTTTGATAATTAAATACCTCCTTCGCCCACTCCGAGAGCGGTGATTGTGCTCTGAACTTCGAGCTCCAGGATCTAGAAAAGAACTCCAGACTCTGAAGAAAGCGAAATCCACCGAAACATCAGCTCGTTTGTCAAAAAACGATAGAGTAGCAACCTTATGTTTGCTCATCAAGAAAACAGTGAATTATTTTCTAGCTTAAATCGGATCACAAAATTTGCGTGGCAAAGTTGTTCGATATTCTGTCCGTGAAAGCGAAAGCATCGAAAACTTATGAGGTGTTCAAAAAAGACAGGAAACTCAGTACAGGCCTGAATCGCTGCCATCTGCCTCCGGCGGTCGGCTTCGGGAAACCAAAAGTGCGGAGGTTCTACTATGATCCGACCATTGACGGTTGCCACGCGTTGTACTACACGGGCATCGGAGGCAACGAGAACAACTTCGTTAGCTATGAACAATGTGAGCAGACATGCCGAGGTTAGCTTTATCCAAAGGCTGTATCTTACACCTTTCATTGGTTTTATATTCTACTTTTGATTGATACTGGTAAAAGGTTGGCGATAAAACTATGCTTTGCCAATGTGGTTTTAACTCTTTTATTTACTGCCTTTTTCTTCTTAATGGCAGGGTATGATGTGAAATATAACTCGTATGAAGTGCTGAGATATCTGCAAAACTCCGGACCACAGAATAGAACTAGCTGAGATACATGCAAAGCGAAGGACCCGGATGGTGTAGTGGTGAAGTGCGCTGCTCCCCGGCAAGGACAACAGCGCGTGTTCGTTCTCCACTGCATACACCTGTGGTCCGGAGTTTTGCAGATATCTCAGCACTTCATACGAGAATGTGGTTTTAATTATGAAGCAAAAGTTTAAACCTCTTAAACTAATAGAGAGGTGATTCGGCTTTTTGTAGTTTTGGAGAGATTGGTTGATTAATCGCAGGATTCGTTGCTGTCTGAATGGCGAGGTTTGCGAACCTCACCACATTTTGCGGATTCCAGTGATTGTCTGTAGTTGAAGCGTCGAAGCACTCTGTATGGCTCGCACATTCCCAAGAGAAATTGTAGCTGAGCAGCATTCAGCGAAATGACAAAACCAATATGCCCAAACCATGGCCGAACACACACTTAACAAACCTCCCCCATAGAGGACGGTTGCAGGAAGGAGGAAAAATGTCGGGACCCACACTACATATAATAACGGTTCGTCCACGTGCTCTAAACATTTATTGTTATTCATTATTACTTACTTTGAAACGTGGAAGGCCCGTCTTCACTGGTGGTGTGGACCTCAACATAATTTCTGTTTGTTTCTCTCTCGCGAAATCATCGTCCATGATGGTGCTCTGCTTCGAATATGATGACATCCGCAAGGGGTATTTCGTGATGCCAAAATCGTTGCATCTGTAAATATAGATTGTTCAATTTAGCCATGGAAACGTCACCGCAAAGTCTAGGTGATCTTCCAGGAGGACGCTTGCATTCTGTTTGAGTATACTCCACTATTCTTTTTGTCTATATATCATCTGTTCCTCTTTTACATGACCGGCTTATCTGTGTTTTTCTATCGATGTGTGCTTTCCTGTATTTCGAAAATGGGATAGGTTTCGAAGATCTGGGCTCGGCGTTCTGGCTAGATGTTGTGAGTGCCGGTTAAATTTCAGAAGATAGCGTTCAAGCGCTCTGTAAGTTGTGCGCAGTTTTGACAGCGTGTATAGAAGTATGAGCTCACCGTTTTAGTTCCATTAAAGAGCGCTGGCAGGATTGTTGAATCGAAAAAATGAACGCGAAGTTCCAGGTCCTTTAGTTGGTCGGTGTCTTCTTTGTGAGGCCTGAATTTGGCCTACGCTTCTCTTCTTCTTCTGTTCAATTCCTTCTAGATGTTCATTCAACGTCCAAGATACAAGTGCGAGGTGAATCCTTTAATCAGAATCATCCAGTTCGATTTGTTGGCCTTCGCACCACAGGTTCTTTATGAACTGAGCCTTCATCCTATTCACGCGCAGTCCAATCTTTTTTCCAGCTCCGTTGAATTCATTGAGCATCGTCTCTGTTTCTGTGACACTCCTCGGAAACATGACAATGTCGCTGGCAAGAAGAAGATTTGGTAGGAAATTTCCATCAATACGCATGCCTGTTCATCCCAATCAGGTGGCTTCCTTATCTGCTTTGATACGGCAGTAAACTGGCGATATTGTGTCGCCTTATTGCACACCATTTCCTGTGTTTATGGTAAGTGGTTGATGAAAAATGTGTATATACGTCTAGCCGTTCCGATAATTGTAGTCGGTGGTATCGAGCTCTGCCTGCAGGGTGGTTTCTCACCATAGGGAGGTCGAGGTCCTAGGCAGGGGTTGTGGGGAGGCAAAAATTGTTATAGAACTTTTCCGTTATCAGTTCCATATATGATGCAGTGACCGTTCTGTCTTCATTCAGCAGTGCGGATTACGGAACAATATGTTCGCAAAGTTGAGAAACCAATATCAGGATCTATCACTGTCCTGGTATCAAATTAATCGCATGGTGACAAATCCCCCTTTGATCCACAAAGGCTGCGACTGCCTGTGGTGGCGACGACCTGGGGCAGACTTTGTCCAGGCTGACCTCGGAACTCCAGGGAACCACAATGGCTAACAAATTCCAAAAGAATGGAGGTTGTGCTGCGGCCTGCACAACCAGTGAGGACGAGTCATCGTAGTACCCAAGTATGGTCGCAGAGATCTCGACGGCACGTCTTCAGACTAGATCTTTATTGAGCTGCATCCAACAGCTTTTTCTGCCTACACCGGGTGTAAGCCTTTCTGCAAAGATCTGCCACAGCTAGAGTCTATTATCAGCCGTTTTAGGTATGTTGCGGTCTGATCAAGCTTTAGTGTCTTTCTCTTTTCGAGCAACTCATTAAATTTAGCGGAGGTAAGGTGTAAGCTTTTTGTTTGAGGAGCTGAAGCGAATCCTGCACAGTTTTTAATTCTTTGGCAAGTAGATTGTGCTCCTCGGTTTTATCTGCCAGTCATATAAGGGAGCGCTTTTGTCGAAAATATCTCTTCGTACATTACTTGTTTCGTTTTTCTTGGACGATGACAGGAGTTCTTTGCAGCTAATGGCTGAATAAAATCTTAACAAAGAAAGGGGTGATCAGATCCCATACAGAATCCAACTACCACTGAAGTGTCAAAGAGGCTCCGTCTTCTCAGCGTGAGAATAGATCGATCTCCGCATTAATTGTGCGTTCTGAAAACTCCCATGTCCATCGGGGTTTTTCTCTCTTCTTGAAAAATAAGTTTCCATGGAGGAGTCGGGTTGCCGACTGGAGTTTTACAAAGTAGTTTCCACTCCCATTTCGGACTTTTTCTGTCTTCGTGACGAATGTCGTTGAATGCTTTCGAGTCGATTTTCCCTGAAATCTCTCAGGTTTATCAGGGTTGGGGCTTTCCCATGTGGATTAAACGGAGTCATCTTGCCCCAGGTTAGTATGGCACCAACCTGCCTACTCTTTAGGGATGAAAGGCTTGATGGGACTGAGGTGACGTCGAACTGGCGTTTAGGTGGGTCGGGCCGCCGGCGTAATGGATGGGATCACCGCTACCCGTTCCCTAATTTAAATGTAGCAGTAAAAAGTAATTACCTTTTTAGTTTTTTATTTCTTTAAGAAACCTAAGGAGTTTTAAGAAGGCCACCTGCTGAGACAAGTTTCCAGAAGCTTAGTTTTTCTTTAGGTTTTTACGTTTCCATATATCTCAAAGCTCTCACCTCGTCGAGACCTTTCTCAAAGAAAAGTCTATTTATCCATTATCAACGAAAGTGTACTGGAACAAATTTGGGAAATATGTTTGTTTGTATAACTTATTAATTCTATGGTGTAAAAACGATGTTTTGAAATATAAAAGAATGCAGCGTTTTGGTGATTGAACTTCTAGCAGTTCATTTGCAGTTTTGCATTCTAGGCACCGGCAAACCGATTGTCGAAGAGGTGAACCTGTCAAAGGACAAAAAACTCACTCAGAATCTTTCATCGACACCATCGACACTTCATACCACGTCGACTATGGCGGCGGTAAACCAAATGTATCGTTTCCCACTTTGTTTATTTAGATTCGGCGATTATTTTTTCAGCAGAACACCCACCAAGAAGTGAATGAATTGACGATCTTCTTATCAAGTGAAGGGTCCACAGGTGAAAGTCATACATACAGGACAGTGGAATCTTCAGCAGTACCAAAAAGTTTGTCTCGATGATCTTGTCTTTACTGTTTCCTTATTTAGAGGGCTTACTAACGCTCTAACCAGCTATTCAATTCTTCAAGAATTTTCGGAAGACGTGTGAACGCGGTTCATCGAAGTATCTTCAAGATCGAAATTGCTGGAGGATGGCTCTTTCCGGAAAACACCTATATAGACATTGACAAGTGCCAAAATATTCCACTTCAGCTTTAAACGTAGTGCTGTTAGCTAGTTAGCAGTATTTCTAGCTGCACTACAGCACGCACGAGATGCAACGTCGTCCTCTAATCCGAAAATGTTGTTTTTTTCTGTTGCTATTCCATGGTATTACACTGTTTCTTTTTTAGACGAAGACGTTAGCAAGTCGAATAGTCAGACAATCGTCATCACGTCAACGATGAGAAGTGAGCCGGCAACTAGAACTTTCTTACAACTGCACACGGCTGAGGACATGCACCGTAGGGAACATCATAAAATTCGTTTAAATGTTAGCCTTAGAAGTTGCGGTACCGAGTGGAAGTGCTTGAGTTGCCTCGAACGACCCACAAAATGTCGCTCTTACCTATAAAGGCTTAAAAAACTGAATTTTGAAAATCTGCATTGGAAAAGGGGCGTTTCTCGAGTGCACTTGGTTCTTCGTCAAATAGTGAAGATGTGCTTGTTTTTATGTTTGTTTTTAGTTTATTTATGCATTTTACTGGGCGTTCGAAGCAGACCCTGCAACACACACTTGGGATCGATCCCGACGCCCGTGGCTTACTAAGCCCTCCATCTCTCCGGGGTCGACAAATTAGTACCATATTTGACTGGGAGGATAGCGGCACTGGCTCGATACATCGGTAGGCCATCGCGAGTCATCGTAAAGGACAGATGTGCATTCAATCTCCTCCAACGATGCTTAATGAAGTCGAATGCATGGCGCATCCCTCAGGGATTGATCAATGCCAATAACTTTATCCTTATTATGCGTTTTACTTAGGCTTTAGTGAAATTTTGACGGTTAGAAAGGAACTTTTTTACGCTCTGAATTTTGCATTTTCCTGTCAGACAAGTCGCCAGTGCGTGATTATTTCATTCAATTAATTCTCTTGTTATGAATTCCTTAGGTTCCTCCATCGTCGTCACCACTGTGAGTCCTAGCCGAAAAAACTTCACTGCCGGTAAAGAAACGAGCTTTTCGACTAAAGTAACTGCTGCAAGAGCGTTTCCTACCTTGGTTAGTGTTCCTGGAGGCGAGTTAAAGCTTTTTACTACTTTTTCTCTTTTTAATTGAAAACATTGAAGTACTCCACCAAATAAAAGGCTTTTAAGGCCACATGTTTTCTGAGACGTGACGTAATCAAGCCTACCTTGAAAAAAATTAGACTTGATGGAAGAAAGACCCACGTTGAAGGAATATTATGATGTCCCTCAAATGTTTCGGAAAGGCGAAAAATATCTACGAAATTGTGAAAATAAGTTAGAAATTTCTTAAAAAACTTTTTACAGAGTTCATCCTGCCATTTCTTCGGACAACAATTTTACCAGATGCCTCAGCAAGCAGTACCGATCGCCCGAAAATGACATCGCTCGAGGCCGAGTCGATGGGGGAACCTATAAATTTTATCTTTGAATACATCATGACATCCAGTGAACCACCAAAAGTTTTTCGACCTATGTCCAGTTCTTCTGCACTCATGCAAGTGACCAGAGAACTCTCCACTGAAAATGAAACTCTGAACTCTTATGGGAGTTTTGAAAAAGCTCAGCCGGCACAGACTGAAACTAGTGTTGTTATGCCACAGCAAGTATCGAAATCATTGGAGGCTACCACTCATTCGATCGCGTTTGAAACATTCCAGCAACAAACATCTGCTATGCCTAGGCTCGAGGAATTCGCAAAGAACATAAGAACTCTAAATCGTTCTCTTGCTACTTCTACTCCCGAAGAAACTATTCCTGCTCCAGGACATCCAAGAGGTAAACCATTATCGTCAAAAGTATCTATGCTGCCAAACTCAGAATCTCGGAACATTACACCTCTTATTTCTCAATATACCAATGTTGAGCCGGTAGTATCGCAAATTCTTCTGGTACCAGAACATCAAACTACAGCGAATGTTCCAAAATTACATGAAAAGATTTCAACAAGGCCAATAATGATCCACTATTCGAATCCATACCCATTTTTCGTGCCTGTTTCCTCTGGTGGCTCCACCTCATTTGAAAATTACAACTTCACTAGCTGGATTACCCCTTCGCTATTACTAGCGTCTCAGAATAAATCGACACTGAATCCGAAATCGATGGAAGATAGCATGCACACTTATGAACAAGTGATGAAGCAAGCACTGTTAACGAAAGGTGGTTCAGTTCCACTCGAAACCTTTTTAGCTAAAGAAACCGAGGAGGCAAAAGTAACAAGTAAAGGAACAGAAAAGTCAGGAATTGGAGAAGAAACATTAAAATCTACTGGATCAAAATCTGCTTTCTATCCTCATCCAGTTGCTCAAGTATTTCTGTATTTCCAATATGGTTCCTCGCTTTCACGTTCATCACTAGCATCCATTCCGATTCAGCAAAATCTACTGTACAAGAAAATAGTAGGTTTTCCACTTGTTTGTTCTTCCAATAAAAATCTTATAGAGCACCTGGTTCCCCAATAATATTTCGTCTACGCATATTGTAGCCATAATTGTTGTGCAACGGAATTTGCTACCTTGTTTATTTTTTCGGGATATATGTGCATCGTAGTTCGTGAAAACTGTAACAAATCTTAGGTCTCTAGCTTTAAAAGAAAATAAAGCTGAAAGCTAAAAGCTCTCGGCGTTGATCAATCTCTGAGGGATGTGCCATGCATTCAACTTTATTAAGCATCGTTTGCAGGAAGTTGAATGCATATGTGGCCTTTACAATGACTCGCGGTGGCCTACCGATGTATCGAGCCAGTGCTGCTATCCTCCCAGACAAGTCTGGTACCAATTTGCCGACCCCGGAGGAATGGAAGGCTTGGTGGGCCATGGGCGCGGGATCGATTCCACGTGTATGTTGCGGGGCGCCTCCGACCACTGCCCCACACGCGCCCCTATGCCCCCTTCCCCCTTCAAAAAAACCCCAAAAACTCGGTGTATTTTCACTTTGTGGCATTTTTCTTCTCATATTTTCGTGCGTGCCCCATTGAAAGTAGCTGTAAACTTTTTCTGAATCTCCGGCTCTGTTTTTTATCGCCAGTAATTTGGACAAAGCTTCTGCTATTAAATAAAGTCAGAATAAGTATATTAGGTTCTTACATGACATCGAATATCGACAATTATTTTATGAATTGGATCAAATCAATACGATGTCCACTCCAGGAATCTCCCATGGATAACATCTCTGCTTGTCTTTCTCCTATGTACGACGACGTGGTGATCATGTGCGCTCTGGAGAGCGTCCAATGTCCAGCAGGTACTTTCTGCCAAATTGGGGATGGACAGAGCATCTGCTGTCCCACGCCGAGTACGTCATCTTCTTTCTAATTCTTTTTTTTTGATTTTTGCCGTAATAGAAGAATCTGGAGAAAGCAAAGAATTCGATACGTTCTAGACTTCTCCAAGAGAACTTCATTTTAGTGGGTAGTCGTTTTTTTCTCTCTTCGGCAAGAAGGTAGTCATGACTAGCCCACGGCTAATTAACATAGCAGGGTTTGCCTTTAAACTGAGCTTTTGTATGGGAGTGCGCTTCAAATCTGTTAGACCTGTTAGACAAAGCGCCCCTGTTGTCAAATCACAATTCCACAACTACGAACACTCCGTAATGATGGTTAGGTGAAAATTCGAGTGAAAAATGACCCCTTCGATGATTAAAAATCTTTTAACGTGATTATCAACATAACTACAGCATATGTGGAACCACGAACCTTAGGGGAAACGAAAACAACAGTGATAGTGGCTACGATTTTTTACCGTTTTGACATTTGTGTTAAGAAGTGAGTTCGTGAAATAGCGTAAACAACTGTAATCACAGTCGGGAACAAGTGTGAGCAGGCTGTGCGAACCGGTGTGGGACCATCTTCTCTTCCTCGATGGTACTTTGATCCAACAGTGCGGGAATGTCTGCCTTTTCTTTTTCGAGGATTTCAGGTCTGTTTGTTCTAATTTGATTGCCATAACTTTATTTAAGCCTTTTTTTCTACAATTTTTTGGACTTTCTTATCGACATAACATTTAAAACGAGACATAAATGTTGGATTTAACATGAACAACACTATTGTAGGATAGCTTACTTTTATTCAAATTTTTTAAAGTGACTCGTCACGGTATCAACTGTGCCGACCCCAGCACTTCTTGCATCCAATTCGCTTTCCTCGCATTTACCGTTCACAAAGGTCTTCGAATATTTCGCATGTTGCTTCGGCTGTTGCTTAAGGGTTTCGTCTTCTTTGTGAATGTCGTAGAATGCTTGTCCAGTCAATTCTCCTCGCAATTTTGAAGGTAGCTGGGTTGAGGCATTTCCACGTGCACTGGAGGAAGGCGCTGGGCGGGGGTCGAACTAATGCGTTTGTTCCTGGTCGACGGCATTACTAATAACTACGCTATTCGCTCTTTGTATGGTTACTTAATGGATTCCAATGCATAGAGGAGAAGGATAGAAGGAAGGGTAGATGGAAGGACTAAAGGATAGATAAATGCAGAGCGCTTCCTCTTCTATCCTTGCGCATATTGTTTATCTGAGTGTATAGTTTTTCACAGGAGCAGAAGTACAACGTGCTTAAAGCGTCGATTTGTAGGAAAAACAAAAAGGTGGCCGTATCAATGATGTGCAACCAGGTGTTTTGCTATACTTCGGCTCGAGTAAGTAATTTGTTTCTGGCGGTGAATACGCAGTTGGCTTCTATCACGGGGCTGGATTTGGTATACTTAGTGCTTTACGCTTCGTAGAGAAGATGGCTCATCACATACATAACCTTGAGGAATAGAAGCTCCGTCTAGTTGCACTATGCATATAGTCGAACGAGCGATCAAATCTAAGCAATGAGGCCTGTCATGACGCTCAAGGTTCAGTATTACCAATATTTTCAGAAACATTAATGTGCCTGTAAGATTTTCGTTATGAATTCTTGGGATACCTATAGTAAAATTTTCTTAGAACTAATCTAAATTAATTGTGCTTTAGATGTTTATTTGAAAAGCATATTCAATTTTTATTACATTTTAGGGTAACGAGAACAATTTCGAGAATTTTTCTCAGTGCCAACTTACTTGTAACAAAAGGCCAGAACAATATTCTTTCAAGGAACAGCCGTTAGGAGGTATGAACGGCACCTTACCACAAGCTTTTAGTTGTTGCCTTTCCTAGCATGTTGAACTTCACCAATATTCTACATTGACGATTTTGAGATGTTCAGAATTATGCTTAGATAACTGTATTTCTTAACTCAGCTGTTAGCAGTTTTTGATTTTCAACGGTTGCTATTTGTCCATTTTACCTGGTTTTCGACATTTTGTTTGCGGCAGAACCCTTATACCATAGTCGTGCCGTGTTCGGTATTCTTCCCTTATTTGCTTGAGACGAAATGCTTAGTGTCGGTCATTAGATATACTCGAATGCTCGGAAGGCCCTCTCACTGGTTGTACGGGTTCCAGCATATTCTCCAATTTTCGGAGTTTTGCTGATTTAGCCATTGTCTTTCCCTGGATTCCCGAGGTCAGCCTGGCCAAAGTCTGCTCCAGGTTGTCACCACCACAGGTAGTCGCCGCCCTTGTGGATCAGAGGAAGATTTGTCATCATGCGACTAGTTTGATTACAGGAAGGTGGTTGATCCTGGTATTGGTTTACTGTTAGCTGGACCTCTGATGGAAATGTCGGACGCCTTCTCACCTTGGGCAACCCAGCCGTGGGAATGGAATCCATCCGCTGTACATCGCAGCCCGATACCCAGGAACACCTCCCAGCCACTATGAGGCGGTAAACCGTTAGGAGGCTGTTTCGATAGTACGTTCGATAATGCTGGTTGAACCTTCCTTCTCCTTGAGTTGCATTCCGGATGAGGGGCAAATGCTGAAAATAGTAGGGATAAATTATTAGGATTACGTTTTGGTAACAGAATAAAGGTTAAATCTCTCGGCGTTTACCAATCTGTGAGGGATGCGCCGTTCATTCGACTTCATTATGTATAGTTGGAGGTGGTTGAATGTATATCTGATCCTTGCAATAACTTGCGGTGGTCCACCGATGTATCGAGCCAGCGCTGCTATCCTCTCAGACAAGTCTGGTGCCAATTTGCCACGTTCGGAAGGATGGGGAAGCTGGGGGCCATGAGCACGAGGATCGGTCCCATGTATTCCCAGGATCGGCTTTCTATTAACCTCGGGATTGGAATGTGAATACGCCGTTTTCCTGTTCAGCAATCACAAGGTTGTTAATCAGCATGCATTTACTTCCATAGAAAAACACAATACAATACAACAGTAGCTGACATTTCGGCAGTTTCGCCATCTTCGTAGCCTGGAAAGGTATACTGATATACAATTTACTAGGCCAAACGCTTCAATAACACTTACAAAAAAACGAAAAACTCTATGGTAATTATATGATCAACAGCTTTTCAAAAAACTCAGCGCTTTTTTACGCGACTTCCAATGAGGAATTTCCCATTCAAAAACGACTCTGCGTAGGATAGCATGAAACCTTTATGAGCTTCAAGGTCGACTTCGCTATTAGGCAGAACAAGGGAAATGAAATAGAGATAAAAATCAAGAGACGACGACACTACCACCATCTCCTTTCCCTAAAACGTTTTCTAGACAGCAAGGCCCTAACGATGAAGTTGACGTAAAATTCCGAATGTTTTCGGACGGCATTCTCGAGACCCTTAATCACTACCGCGATAGAAGGTTTATCCCTAACCTTACAGCCGCACAAAAATTTGGCATGCGAGAAATTAGAGAATTAATAAACTCGAAAACAATAAGGTTGTCTGTTAGTGAAAAGGGGAGAGAGTTCGTAGTTATTCCTCGCCAGCTGGATGTTGAGATAACAGAGGAACATCTTAGTGGTGCCATCTCCCATCCTCTAAAAAGGAATATAAAAGTCAATACCGGAAGCTAAACAATCAATGGGTCAGCGTGGCAAAGGCTGCAGGTTTAAAGTCATCGGTTATTTCGCACTTTAAAACCGATAAACCAACATGTCGCATCCTATACCTACTCATTAAAGCGTCAACCAAACCGTCATCATTTAAGGTTGGACCCATCATCAGCTGTGTAGACGGACCAACGGATAGAATAGGTAGAATCGTTCGACGTTAATAGATAGAATCGTTAGACGTTGCAGGGCACCTCCGACCACTGGGCTACATACGTCCTCATTCCGTCTCTCTATGTGTTTAACTAGAGCACATGTGGCGCAGTAGTCGGAAGTGCCCTACAACGCACACTTGGAATCGATCCCGGGCCCATGGCTCACTAAGCCTTCCACCCCTCCGGGCTCGGTAAATTGGTACTAGACTTGTCTGGGAGGATAGCAGCACTGGCTCGATAAATTGGTAGCCCACCGCTAGTCCAGATTGTAAAGGCCAGATATGCATTCAATCACCTCCAAACGATGCTTAATGAAGTCGAATGTATGGCGCATCCCTCAGGGATTGGTCAACGTTGAGAGCTTTATCCTTTATTCTTTTATGTATTGGACAGACTCGTGTGTAGATCAAGAAAAGAAATCACCTTAGCGCTTGCATACAAGAAACACTTATTTTGGACTCTGATGAAATAGATTCCTTAATAGCCTAAAGTTTCCCACCTGTTTTTTTTTTTACCATCGAATAGTGTTCTTATATCAATCGCCATCGTACGATCTGATCTAATCTATTTTGATTTGTCTCCTCAATTTTGAAGTTTTGTTTCTGAACCGTTGTTTTTTTGTGCGTTTTGGTATCCTCAACTACCGTAGTCAATTTGAAGTGATAAAAGTTCTAAAAGTTCTTAGCAAAGCGCTTGAAGAGGAAAATTATTTGAAAAAAATAGAAACGGAGAAGGAGAGATGATCATACTCTGAAGTGCACAATGATCTTCTAATATAAATGAGATGATGCTATTCCTATTGGATCTTCTTCTTTTGCTGCTCTACCTACTTTACTAGCAAGTCACTCAATGTGCTATTCAGTATTTTCAGGCAAAATACCCACAGCTTGTGATTTGCCAGTGATAAGCGGACATGGAAACCAATTCATTTCTAGATTTTTCTTCTCAAATGTGAGAGCTGCAGTTCCTTACTGATGTTCGAATATCAGTCTGCTAATAAAACCTAGCGCATTTTTTTCGCCGCGCTCCAATAAATTCACTTTTTTACTTTCCAGTTTAAATAATTGATGCTTCTATTAAGGATTACGGCCAATGCCTACACTTTATCTACTCTGGAGAAGGCGGAAATTCGAACAACTTCGCCAGCATTCACGATTGCCACCAAACCTGTATGGGCACCGAGAACCAGTATCTCTGTAAGCGCTTTTATCACTTTTAGCGCTAAAGTCGGACATGAGAAAATGTGGATTATGGTTTCTATTTACGTACTTGTTTACACAAACTGGCACCACATAATGTGCCAATCCCAGCACTTCCTTCATTCCGTTCATTATATCGTATCCAACATTCACGAAAGTCTTCGGATGTGCATCTGCCTTCGGCTGCCCTTTGGATAAAGAATAAAGGATGAAGATCTCGGCGTTGATCAATCCCTGAGGATATGCCATGCATTCGACTTCATTAAGAATTGTTTGGAGGTGATTTAATGCATATTTGGCCTTTAAAATGACTCGCAGTGGCCTACCGATGTATCGAGCCAGTACTGCTATCCTTCCAGATAAGTCTGGTACCAATTTGCCAAGTTCGGAGAGATGGGAAAGTTGGTTGGGGGCCATGGGCGCGTGGATCGATCCCACGCGTGTGTTGCACGGCGCCTCTGATCTCTGCGCCACACACACCATATTCCTATTCCTCATGTGTGTCGTTAAATACCAATCAAGGTCAAGTTGATTCTCGCTGGGATCCTCGAATGTCTGTTCTACATTTTTCCCAAGTTTTGACCAGAGAAAGACAGCGGACCTTTGTGGGTTATAGCAAGTTTTTTTCAGAGAAATATGGTAGCAATCTGTCGATTTCGGAGGGATGAAAGGTTTGGTTGATAATTTAATGGGCGTTAAGCAGAAAAGAAGCTACGCACTTTGCTTGTTTCGATCAGTTGCTCACAACAACCGTCGCTATCCGTCAGGAAACAAGCTCGATGCCTGCAGATCCTATAGTCTACAAATATTCGCGACCTCTGGTGAAAACCTAGGAACACTCTATTGAGACCATTCCGTAATCCCACTGAAGATCACTTTCGAGCCTCATTCAAGATCTCAGTGATGACAAGAGTTAAAAACAGGTCCTCAAGTAGCGTGTCAAGCTGTAACGAAAAAGTGTTGATAATTTTATTAACCTACTACAACTTTTGAATTTACAGTCATCTTGTTTTCGTACTCAATAAGAAAGGCCGGGTGTTTTATTTGAGCACAATTACTTAGCCGTCTATTAGATGAACTACCGCGTTCAGCTCTCCTAGCCGCTAATGAACCGAGTTCTACACTACCCACTGCATCTGAGCCAGTATGCCCACATGGCGACGTAGAGAGAAATGGTACGGTTCCGGTTAGCTGTGAAATGACTACGGTACGTTCAGTGCTGTGCAACTAATGTTTCAAAATATCGATTTAATTTGAATTTATATAAAATCCTTTCCGAGCCATTAAGTTGCTCTGCATGGTCCCAGTTTAACGGTATATGTTTAGGGATTCGGTTGTTCGGCAGGATTTGTTTGCACTTCAGTAAATGGAATGACTTTTTGTTGCCAAACACCAGGCTCGTTAAATTTTATCTTTTGATAGTTTTGCAGGAAAACCTACAGTATTTTTAATAAGCCTTTGAAGTCAGTTCGACATCTTCACATGTAGAATAAATTGAAGTTTACAACAATAAGTTTTTCTTATTTTCACACAATCTATCTTTCATATCTACTATGCAGATCCCAGTACTTCTTGTCTTCCATTATTTTCACCACGTTCACCACAAGGCTCTTCGAACTATTTGCCTGCGAGTCCTGGTGCTGCTTGAAGATTGTCGTTTTCTTCCTCGTTAATGTTGAATGCTGGTCGAATCTACTCTTCCTGGAATCCTGGAATCGTTGGGCTGAAGCTCCCCAACCTTAATTGCTGGGAGTGCATTGTTCTTAGGAGGGTTTGGCACCAAGTTCTTTACGATGAGATGCTTGACACTGAAGAGCGCGGTGCGAAGTTGAACCAGCTCCGCGCTCTTGATGGACGGCATCACTACCACTGCTCTACCCTCCCCCTACAGCAATATTTATCGAATGTGACTTTTTTACATTATCCAACGTCATATTTCATATTACGCGGTTCCCATCACGTCCGGCCTTCTATTTATTTCGTCGCATCCACCATTCACGATAGAATTCGAGCATTTTGTGTGTCGGTTCCCCTGCTGCTTTAGCACTTTCTTCTTCGTTATGAACGGTAGTCGATTTTGTTCTCCATGGAAACTCAGGATAGTCGGGCTAGGGTGTTCCTAGGTTCACCATGGGGTTGAGGTTGTCCTAAATAAGTCTGATAGCAATTTCCGGAGCCGGTGCTCGGGGCGGGATCAAATCAGGGTCTGGGTAGGTCATTCCTTCCGTGTGATGAACGACACCACTACCACTGCGATGCCCACTCTTTTCAGTCATAAATTCTAAAGAATAATTATTTGCACAACTTTTTCTTTATTGCCTATTAATTTCTCGTAGCTCGGTGTTATGTGAAATACAACCACAGTGATGCTTGAGATATTTTTAAAACTCGGACTCTAGGCCAGAATCGAACCTGCGACTACCTTTTTCGAGGTGTCACTTGTTAACCACGAGACCACCGAAGGCTTTGTTCTGCCGTTCCCTCAGCGAATTTTATTACTCTAACGGTGTCATCAGCAATCGAACGTCAGCGGGAATGACGTGCGAAGCACAAATTAGGATCGAACCAATTTAAATCTGGGTCCAAGTTTTGCAATTATCTTAGCATCACTGTAATTGGTTGTTTGTTTATTGGGCGTGTTACGTCCTTCTCAAGTGGTCGGTCGACCAATCACAGTATTCAATGCTGGCTTGGGAAAAACGACGTGGAGGAAACTTTTCCTTTCATCCACAAGCGATGGCGACTCCACTGGTGAACACCAGAACACGCCGTAGTTAGGCTATCTGAAATTTGGCAAAAAACCTCTCTCGACCAGAGTTCAGATACCAAAAAAGAAAGACGGAGTAGCACTTGATCTGAAATATGCAGGAAATATAGGTGAAAAACTCCCACGTCCGACTTTCTATTAACCTCGGTATTGATTGAATAATTCTTTCTACTTTCAGCAAACACGAGGTGTTATTTTATTTCTTTATTTACGTACAAGCTGATGTCTCGGCGGATTTCGCCTTCCTCAGAGCCTGGAACGGACAAGTTGACAACAATCTATTCGGCCAAACACCTGCATAACCAAACAGAGGAAACGCTAAACCAAGATTCCAATCACATTTAACACAGCTCTGCACACTTACCGCTTTCTATGAGTCTTCCACAGAGTGTGTCGCGTGAAGACCAACCGCACAGAATTCACATGGAAGCGTAATGTTTTCCTCCCATCAGAATAACAGGTTTATATACCATCCAATATCACGCGTGATAATGAGGAATTCTTCCCTGCGGTTCATTTTCGGATTTCTGGAATTAATCCAGAACGCCTCGAGAGTTTTGCGCGCTTGTGTTCTCGATTCCTGTGCTAGGATCACTACTTAATTTGGTGGCTTTTCCTTTGTTGCACCTATGATCCGATTAGAAGATGAGTAAAGAAGACAGCAGGTGCACGATTATAGTCATGAAATAGATCTTAGGAGAATCTAAGTGCCCTTTTGGCAACCCCATAGAAAGATGGGCCGATGTGTTCGTTATACATACGGACCAGTTATCCATACAGCTGGGATCCATTTCCGGATTCTCAAACCGTAGCCGGAAGCACACTTGAGTACTACGACCTTCACGGATGACAGTTAACAATGAGAAGGGGAGAAGAATTACTGAGATAGACACACATGGAGCCTGTAGACCGCCCATCTAAGTATTAATACAACCTACTGTCCTTGCTAAGTTGTTCCAAAGTCCTTGCCGCCTACTGTAGAACGTTCTGAGAGATCAAAGTAAGGTTTGCTAACTAGTGGTTCCCACTCCTCCAGTTTTCAACTGGTTCAACGCTTGACTACACGGCACGTAGGCAAGAATTGCATAGAGTGTACAACACAGACTAAGAGCTGTCTTTTCACTCCTCGATTGAGATATATTTTCTGTTAGTATGTGTTGTACTCATCAAATGTAATCACGTAAAAGTGCAGCAAAGAAGCAATATCAACCAAGAGAAAGGTCTAAGAAAACTAAGGATAAGAAAGAGTATAAATAAATGGAGAGGAATAGAAAGATAAAGGATAAAGCTCTCGGCGTTAATCAGCCTCTCAGGGATGCCAATCTAAGTATTAATACGACCAACTTACTATCCATGGATTCGACTTCATTAAGAATCGTTTCGAGGTGATTGAATGCATAGCTGACCTTTACAATGACTCGCGGTGGGCTACCAATTTATCGAGCCAGTGCTGTTATCCTCCCAGACAAGTCTAGTACCAATTTACCGACCCCGGAGGGGTGGAAGGCTTAGTGAGCCATGGACCCGGGATCGATTCCAAGTGTGCGTTGTAGGGCACTTCCGACTACTGCTCCACATGTGCTCTAGTTAAACACATAGAGATCGATTCCTACGTGTGTTCATGTCATGTCATTCTTAGGACTATGGAGAGGAGTATATATTGAAAATGGTTGATAAGTCGCATATACTGTTGTAATCGAACAGTGAACTACGAAGTAATCATACTTTTGTCACATCTCGAATTCATATACCATCTGTATCATCCGTTCTGCTTTTGATTGTTGAATAACTCCAGTGAACACCATTAAAATCTCCATTTGCTCCAGGAGCCCAAAAGTGGCATAGTGAATGCAACACATTGAATTTCACTCCCATGCTATCCTATTCCAATTTCCCCACGACGTCCTCGAGATTAGTTATAAGCGATTTCGGCGGGATTCTGCAGCCTTGTTGAATTTTACCACTTTACGGCAGTATTATTGCTGCCGTAGAGAGAGGAATTTTAGTAGTAACTTTGTTACACTGCTCATGAAGGATCTTTACGTACCGAGCATGCGCACTGGCTAGCCATAGCTCTTCTATAATTCAGTGAATTTCATTAACGCGTGACAGCGATCCGACTTACTGAATGCTTGGTCCCATGGCTGTCCTTCGTCCAATACTCTCTCTATTCTTTTGAGCAAGACCAGAGTCAAAGACTTGTATCACAGATGTGGTGATAATGGCTGGTATTAAATACCATAAATAACAGGCGAATTTTGTGGTAGTGCCAATGTCGATGCAGGTCACCCCTCTTGCCTATCAACTCTTTCCTGTTAGTTTTCCGTTAATTTGAAATGTTTGTTTCACAGAGATAACGTTTGAAAAGGAACACTAGTTTTTAGAGAATTTTGGTAGCAAGTTCTTGAAATGGTCCAATCCTGTTCTGACTAGGGATGCCTTATCTTTTTTCGCTTAGATTATTTGTGCTCTAATTCCTACGGGAAGCCGAGCTCTGGTTTGATGTTTAGCATTCATATGGAGTACTTGTTGGTTTTTCCTAGAGCACGTGAGAAACTCGGTTTTCAAAATCGATTTGAGCGAGTGATCAAATATTTCACATTCACTTGATTTTCAGGCTTTTGGCGAAACTGACGTGCAAAATGCAATCCTTATTCAGGCACAAGTGTTTATATTGGCATAGAGAAAGTATTGGTATTGGTATTCCATTGTTATACAGAAAGTACATATGAGCCTGCACAGCTGAAAAAGCTAGTCTAATCCCCGAACTTTCGTGACTCGCAGAACAAAATACATATTCTAACATAAAAAGTAACATAAAAAGGTCGTGTGAAGCGCAGTGATTAGAGGCACTCTGCAATACACATGGGATCGATCTCACTATTCAAGTTCATTAAGCCTTCTATCCCTCCGAGGTCGGCAAATTGGTACAACACTTATCTGAGAGGAAAGCAGCACCGACTCGATACATCTGTAGACCACCGCGAATGATTCTATTGGACAGATATTCATTCAATTACCTCCAAACGATGCCTAATGAAGTCGAATGTGTGGCGCATCCCCCAGGGATTTATCGACGCCGAGGACTTTATCCTTTATCTTTAAAAAATACATGTTTGCTTTCGAACCAGCTTTACCCTTATATGTATTAACTGAGAACGTGCCTTGTATCCTTGAGATTAGCCGATCCCTTGGTGATGATGTTAATTTCGAAAATACGCGGTTTAACAAAAATTGCTTCTCAGTAATATCCATTTATGAACAGACTAGTCGACGTTCAAAAGCCTCATCTTTCTGCAACGTCAGTCCACTTGGAGCTGTTTTGTGTTAAAGACGGACAAAAGACGTCTTCCCGCACAAATCTTAACATCGAGGCCTACTGATCTCATCATCGCTCCCATGTTATAATAAGTGTGAGAATAATCAAATAGAATTTTTTGCGCCATGGTCTTCTAGAATTTTATAGATTCTCGGATTCCGCACCATAGATTCGGACTAAAATTTTTCAGAACATGGTCGTACGCCAGATTTTTGCTCGACTCGAGAAATTTGCAGCGAGAATTTCAGAACAATGTTCGACTTTTCACTAGTTATCTATTATTTTTTTTCATGGCAGGGTATTCTTTGAAACATAACGACAGTGATGCTGAGGTATTTGTAAAACTCGTTGCCTCAAAACTCAAAACCCAAGTCATTCCCGTTTGATAGGTGGTCGCTGATAGCACCGTTACGATAAGAAAATGTCTGGGAGAAAAGCAAAGCAAGGGGCTCGATGGTGCAGTGGATAACATGTGAACCTCTGGAAAGGGTAATCATAGGTTTCAAGTCCACCTGGGGTTCCGAGTGTTGCATATATCTCAGCATCATTATGGTTGAATTTCATAACAAAAAATACCAAGGCAGATTCTTCTACTTGGTGTTTTTCACAGATAAAATTCGCCAATGAAGTGATTAGACACCAAGAATTCGCTTATTTCCTATAAAGAAAGGAACCCTCACACATCTTTTATCTTCATTTCTTACCTAAAAGAACGTATTGACATCCTCATTGGTAACATCAAGTGTGAGAAGCAGCGAATAAGTAGAAACAGCTTGAATACCTTTTTATATTCCATAACCATAACCGAGTACTCTGATCGACTCAAGCGTGCCTTTCAGAATCGTTTTGCCTACATCCACGTCCGCCACTGTCCGTTTGTTTCACACAGTTTTCGCCCCCTGTGCAAAGAATTGAATTCACCTATGATCCATTGGCCGATCGTTGTGTTCAATTCAGTTACTCTTCATGTTCACCCTCATTCAACCTTAACCACTTTAAGTCGAGTTCGCAATGTACGCGACTTTGCTGCAACCAGGTGAGGCATCCTCGATTTTGAAGAATTTGTTTACAAACTAGAGACTTTTGGTATTTATTTTAGGGCTATCTTACAAAGCTCTTCTGATAACTGAAGCAAGAAATAAGCATGTTACATCAAATCTGAAAGTTTTTTAGCCAGTTTCTAGCTGGGTGTTAGGCAAGACCGCAAATTTTGAAATGTTTATGACGCCGATATTCGTTTAACTTTTCAACAAAGTTGATGGACTCTGCGTCAAGCTTTGCAAACGAAGCCAACATCCTAACGTTATTGATTTGTGACTTATTTTAATATGGAGGGATATAGGTATGAGAGGGCTATGAAGGAAAGCTTCTGAATATCATCTACCTTTTCTGTCACTTATAAAACTCACCCTTTGAAGTAACCTTATCTCACTTGCTTGCTTTTTCCTCTGCAGGCTTTATGTCATATAATTATGTGTCACTTGTAGTCTATAGTTAGTGATCGACTCTATGGAGCCCCAAGCTTAGAAAGAAGTACAAAAGTATCGACTTCTAAATCTATCACCGTTAGCTGAAGTTGAGTACTTATTTTTACGCTAAACCTCTTCGCAGCCTGAAGGGTTACGCAAAAAAAAAACTAATCGGGATGGGCGGTAACTACAATGAGTAAAGGTGCTACTTGAAATTAAGAAGAAGACGAAACAAAATGAAGTCAATGGAAGAGTAACAATGAATAATCGTTCATAAAGAACTGCTTCCACAAAATGACTAAAGGGGGAAGGGGTTTCCTCATTCTTGAGCATGGTGAAATATTTGCTCGAAAACACACTTTCGTATTTCGTATATGCTGCAAATGGAAGAGAAAGATGTTAAGGAGTTGGGAGTCTGAAGGTGCACCTAAAACTTCCTATGGCTTGGCACCCAATAGATGGTCAGAATTCTATGCGGATGAACAAAGCAGAACACTGATACTACTGATGCTTTGCATTGCTCTTCTCTCACCCAATTTTTACGCTAACAGTGCCATCGGAATTCACCCGTCAACGAGAATTATCTGGGGAGCACAAATCGGCATTTGACCCAGTAAAGCCGAGGTTGCAGTCGAAATCACAATGCAGATAGTGTTTTAGTTGACCATATCACTCCTAGTGCACATTCAGTGATTTCCTGTGGTGTTATAATGGAAGGTTATTAGCCGTTGTGCACAATCGGTGACGCACAGCCGATTATTTCAGCCCCGATTTCCGTGTTTTTCATCAGTTGTCCTCTTGAAGAGGAGTTTCTAAACACTCTTCTGAAACATTTACCTGGTCTTCAGAGCAAGATGTATCGTTCATGTTGAAAATACCAGTTTTAAATCAGATAAAGTGACATGTTTTCTAGCTGTCCTGTCACTAAAATAGTTTTCGCCGCCGACTTGCATAGCACTTGTTCGCAGTGTGGGCTATTCTCGTGGATGCCCACCTTGATCGATCATTGTCTATTGGATTCTAGAACCAGTTATGAAAGTAATAAGAGTGACAAACTGGACGATGGTTGTGGTCTACTAGAATACGAATTGTAATGTGCTTTATATTATTATTTTAACAATTAATTTAATTTATAAACCACATTTTTTTTGTTTTTTTATAAGGGCGCGTGTGGCACAGTGGTTGAAGGCGCCACTGCGACACACACGTGGAATCGATCTCCGCGCCCATGGCCCACCAAGCCTTCCATCCCTTTGGGGTCGGCAAATTGATAGCAGACTTGTCTGGGGGATAGCATACTGGCTCGACGCATCGGTAGGCCACAGCGAGTCACACTGTAAGGGCCAGATATGCATTCAATGACTTCCAAACGATGCATAGAATGAAGTCAAATGCATGGTGAACCTCTAAGGGATTGATCAATGTCGAGAATTGTTTTTATAGTACCTAATGACGAGCAATTCCTGTTTAGGTAAATCATTGCTTAATAGATAACGAGAGGAATGTGGCTGAGAAACCAAAAGTCGCTAGTATGTGGCTTCACCGATAGATTCGTCAATCTAAGCTGACAGTTTTGTTTTTAGGGATACAATCTTGTATACAAGAGAAGGTTAATGCTGGCGAACGACAAGCCTCTTGAACAATTCGACAATCAATCAGGACTTCAATAAATTCGCTGCCCATTCTTTTGAGTAGCTTCAAAAATCCCGCATTTTGTCCTTCTTCCTTCTGATCTTACAGTATTCTGATATAGGATATAACTAAGCGATGTAAAAGTAAATGATTCGCAACAATCTTAGAACGAGAGGCACTTCGGAAGCTCTTGTAGGATAAGGTCTCCGGTGACATGAACCCGTTTGAGAGTATGACATTAAAAATATAACAGTAGTTTTCTTTGCTCCTTAAAATCTTCCGCTCAGACTCCTTCACATATCGTTTTCCTAAAATCGCTTTGTTCAGGCCTAACTATGTCCGCCTTTTTCTCTAGACTGTTAAATAACGTCACATCTATATTTTATATGGGTATTTTCCTTGCTCGATCACTTTTGATATCATTGCTAATTACGTTGTTGCTCGTCCACTTGTAGTAGAAAAGGTTTGTAATTTTTCAGTGGTTGTTCAGTTCGTCGACTCTACCAACAAAGCTTTTGTGTCCTTTGAAACTTCTTTTTCATCCATCGTTTCTTTACTCTTTGATATCGAGGTGATAAAAAGGTAAAGGATAAAGCACTCGACGTTCGCCTTTGGAGGAGGATAGTTGGTGGGTCAATATTGATATGGGATTTTATTAGATCTAATGCCAAAATAACCTTACAACGGAAATTCGAAAGCCTGTTGGGTAATTCACACGTCTCAGCTTCAAGAAACAACCGCAAACGAATTCCTTACGTTTCTGATAATAGTCAAAATGGGGTTGATAATGCACCAAGAAAATCTAAGGTCACCGTGATTGGGGGCATAACAATGCCTGAGAGTGCGCGTTCGCTACTAGAATTGGGCCCAAGTTTTGCACCATCACAGCCCATTTCTAAAACGACCCTGCGTAGGATAGCATGCAACCTTTATGAGCTTCAAGATCGACTCCGCTATCAGGCCAAGCAAGAAACATCAAATAGAGATAAAAATCAAGAAGCGGCGACACTACCACCATCTCCTTTCCCTAAAATGTTTTCTAGACAGCAGGACCCTAACGATGGAGTTGACATGAAATTCCGCGTGTTTTCGGACGGCGTTCTCAAGACCCTTGATCACTACCGCGATAGAAAGCTTATCTCTAACCTTACAGCCGCACAAAAACGTGGCATGCGAGAAATGGCTTGACCATCCAGCAGCTAATGGCTCTCTTAAAGGAGTGCCTGAACTGCTCGATTTTCAGATGGTCTGGGAAATATTTCGCGCAAATAAGGGGGTTGGCAATGGGAAAGCGATTGGCACCAAGCCTTGCCATTCTGTTTATGTTTATGTCTAAGATAGAAGCCCCTGTTCTCGATCTCCGGCCACTACTCTCCTGCAGATATGTAGATGATTGTTTTGTCGTCTTCTCTACGCAGGAGGAGATGGACAAATGCTTTGAATTATTGAACGAGCAGTCCGAGTACATAAAGTTCACCCGGGAGAAACCGAGAGAAAATTGGCTTCCGTTTTTGGACGTTCAAATAAACCTATCAAGTAGCGATTACCTGACAAAGTGGTATCGAAAGCCAAGTAACAAGAACATTCTTGTTCATTTCCTTTCTTCCCACCCTTCACGCACAAAGAGGGCGATTGTGAGAAACATGTTTCGAACAGCCACCTCTGTGTGCACTACCAGGGAACTAAAGGAAGAATCGCGCGACTTGGCTCGGCAAATAGCCATCTCCAATGGCTACGAAATAGTAACCCCACGAGATAAGTTTACAAGGAGAACGACGCGCCCACGCGAAACACTTGGCCAAAAGACAGATCCGTTTATGTTGCCTTTTATAAGCGATGAAGTAAGCGTAGCTATAAAACGATGCTTAAGAAGGGCAAGTCTAGAGGAATCGGTAGCGATAGTTGAAATACCACCGGCTATTCTACGTCGCCAATTAGTTCGTAACCGCCTCT